TACACAACTAAATCATGCCATCTGTGTTGCTTTTTTTTTTTTTCGGTCCGTCTGACTAGTCGCGCATGACTGTGAAGGGACCAAAGCAAAACCTTGACAAGTATATCTTATGTCTTTATCATTGTTTATATACAATGTCTTCATTGTTGCAGATGTCTTATATTCTCTCTTCTTCTTCTTCTTTGTCTTCTTCTTCCTCCACTTCCTCCTTTTCTTTCTCCTGTTCTTCATCCTCTTTTTCTTCCTTCTCCTCTTCCTCTTGTTTTTCTTCTTATTCTTCTTTTTCTTTCTCCTCTTCCTCTTCCTCATCCTTCTTTTCTTCCTCCTCTTCCTCATCCTCTTCCTCATCCTCTTCCTCCTCCTCATTCTCTTTATTCTCCTTCTTACTCTTCTTCTTCTTCTGCTCACTCTTTTTCTACATGCTCTTCTTCTTCTTCTTTCTCTTCTTCTTCTTCTTCTTCTTCTTCTTCTTCTTCTTCTCATTCTTCTTCTCCTTCTTTTACTTCCTCTTCCTTTTCATCTGCATTATTGTCATCTTCTTCTTCCTTTTTTTCTTCTTCCTGCTGTTCCTCCCACTCCTTCTCCTCCTTATCTTCTTATTCCCATTCTTCTTCTTTTTTCCCTCCTCCTCTCATCTGCCACCTCATTTTTTTTTCCAAATAATTTCCTGCTCTGTTAAAACAATAGGTCACATTTTCTTTTTATGCTTATTTCTTTATGTAATCAATTGCTGATACTTGTAGACACACTCTTGAGCCAGTCCTCATTTTCTCATTCACAGAAGACAGCTTTTTTTAAAAACTCTTTTAGTACCAAGGAATTAACCATTCGTTCATTGATGACACTATAAATGGTACACATATCTTTACTTTTCCTATGCCTTTCTTCTCTTAACTCCTTATTGTCCATCTGTTATTATAACACATTCAATCCACTGTATTTTTTCATCTCTATCAGACATTGTAGGTTTAGGATAAACCTCTTTGTTAGCATAGCCACTGTTAATTTCAGCACTATATGGGACTGAAAACGTTGAAAACAGTATGTTTGATTTGACTGTTTTAAACGTCATTTTTGGATGGCAAATATATTCTTGTTTTAAACATCATATTTGGGTTGCAAATGTTGTATTCTTGTTTTAAACATCATATTTGGGTTGCAAATGTCGTATTCTTGTTGTGAACATCATATTTGGGTTGCAAATGACATATTCATGTTGTGAACATCATATTTGGGTTGCAAATGTCATATTCTTGTTGTGAACATCATATTTGGGTTGCAAATGTCATATTCTTCTGAACATCATATTTGGGTTGCAAATGTCATATTCTTGTTGTGAACATCATATTTGGGTTGCAAATGTCATATTCTTGTTGTGAACATCATATTTGGGTTGCAAATGTCATATTCTTGTTGTGAACATCATATTTGGGTTGCAAATGTCATATTCTTGTGAACATCATATTTGGGTTGCAAATGTCATATTCTTGTCATCATATTGGGGTTGCAAATGTGTATGTTGTGAACATCATATTTGGGTTGCAAATGTCATATTCTTGTTGTGAACATCATTTTGGGTGGCAAATGTCTTATTCTTGTTGTGAACATCATATTCGGGTTGCAAATGTTGTATTTTTGTTGTGAATATCATATTTGGGTGGCAAATGTTGTATTTTTGTTGTGAATATCATATTGGTGTTGCAGATGTCATATTCTTGGTGTGAACATGATACTTATGCTGCGAGTGACATTTCTTTGCCATGAATGCCACATTTCAACTGTGTATGTCATATTTCTATTGTGAATGTCATCTTTACATTATGACTGCCTACAGAAGCATGCCGTGGTCCAATATCTATCTCATGAAAGACAACATATCTGTGAATCATGTACAAAATACAAGCTACCAACTACAACAAAAATTAATTCAGCCATGACTTTTATCATATTTACATTATTTTACTGGTGATTTACTCATCTTTGTTTCATCGAATGTAAATTATTCTGTTTGCGGAATATAGAATATAATTTTCTTCAGCGAATGTTGTACTCGTTTATCATGATGAAATAAAGGACCAATCTTCATTGGATTTGTTAGATTTTATTTCTCCCCCCACTATCATCATCATCATCATCATCATCATCATCATCATGTTGGTGGTCATGGTTGCCATTTCCATATGATTGCCAGAATTACGGATCAGGTCATTGTACTTGCTGAGCATCTATGTCACTCTGTTGGGCTAATCTGTATTTGCCACACACAACAGCTCTGTTGGAAGCTGCTGTGGCATAGCAGCTAGATGCTTGCCTGTCGATCGGAAGGTCATGGGTTCATGAACTGACGGAGCAGGATTTTAAAAAAAACTAGCTTGGCTTTCAGATCAACCCAGCCTTGAGTGGGTACCAGGTATAGTCCTGGGATGTCAAAGCCGGCTGGCATGCTGGTGACCACATCTCGCCTCCCCCCGGGTCTACAAAATATAGATCCCTTGTAAGGTGATGGAGTTTTTTTCTGTCAGAGGCAAAATTAAACATTTGAACCTGAACAGTCTGTGGTGACAGCATCGCATCAGCCATGGTAAGGTGATGGAGTTTTTTTCTGTCAGAGGCAAAATTAAACATTTGAACCTAAACAGTCTGTGGTGACAGCATCGCATTAGCCATGCGGCCCTAAATCCCCAGGCTCACGACCCCCTGTCAACACTGCCCTGTAAAGTGGTACCTACAGACAGAAGTGGCAGGGATTTGTTTATGTGTGTGTATATATTTATATATGTATATATATTTTTCCTTCATTTAATTTTTTGGTTTTTTTTTTTTTTGTATCGGGCAAAAATAAAAACGCCCAACCTGCTTTAGCCAGGCACTGAAGATCCCCCCCCCCCACCCCCCGCCCCCACTACCCCAGAAGTAAGCAGTTACGGGAGCCAGTCGTTGTGTAGCGGCTAGACACTTGCCTGCGGATCGAAAGGTCATAGGTTCTGGTCCTGGCGGCACAAGACTTTTTTTTAGAAATGACATTGACTTTAAGTTCGATACCGGCCTTGAGTGGGTACCAGGTACAAGTCCTGGGAAGTAAATGCTTCCAGCCGGATGCTCACCATATCACCCACCAAAGGCTGATATAGGTCTAGCCCTATATGCCCAGTACACCTGAAGATAGGTCTAGCCCTATATGCCCAGTACACCTGAAGATAGGTCTAGCCCTATATGCCCAGTACACCCGAAGATAGGTCTAGCCCTATATGCCCAGTACACCTGAAGATAGGTCTAGCCCTATATGCCCAGTACACCTGAAGATAGGTCTAGCCCTATATGCCCTGTACACCTGGATAGGTCTAGCCCTATATGCCCAGTACACCTGAAGATAGGTCTAGCCCTATATGCCCAGTACACCTGAAGATAGGTCTAGCCCTATATGCCCAGTACACCTGAAGATAGGTCTAGCCCTATATGCCCAGTACACCTGAAGATAGGTCTAGCCCTATATGCCCTGTACACCTGAAGATAGGTCTAGCCCTATATTTCCAGTACATCTGAAGATAGGTCTAGCCCTATATGCCCAGTACACCTGAAGATAGGTCTAGCCCTATATGCCCAGTACACCTGAAGATAGGTCTAGCCCTATATGCCCAATAAACCTGAAGATAGGTCTAGCCCTATATGCCCAGTGTATCTAAAGATAGGTCTAGCCCTATATGCCCAATACACCTGAAAGCGTGGTCAGAGTTCTTTACTTTACGTTTTACGTACAGGAAGTCACAAGTTTTTCAACCGCCGTCACGGGCCAGCAGGCCGACATGCGTGCACGGTACCGTCATCTGTCTCCCAGACACACGGTCTGTCACAGTTTGAACTTGTTAATCCTGCCAGTTGACAAGAATGTGCTAACCATCAGTTGACTTGTCAAGCTTGCCTGGTTGTCAGAGCCGGGTTAGTTGAAGCTTTGTGAGACAAGGGCGCCTTAAAACATGGATTAATCTCTTTGGACTGTTATAAATCTGTGTGCCTTAGGACACGCGACAAATTTAAGGGCCGTGAAAGGGCCGCGCTAGCTTAAGTTGTTTAAACCCAGCATTGCAAAAACTATTGCGATACCTGCTCTATCCAACACCTCGGTGTTTGTGATCTTGCCACTTAATGCCAAGTATTCTTCTTAGACGTGGTATGTGAAACCTTTTTCAGTTGTTTCTCCTGGAAAGTTGTATGCAATTTCTCACTGAACCGAGCAATATCCATAATTCACTTTTGCAAATTATATTCTCGGTATTTCTTTTAAGAACCACATATTTATATTGTGAAGGACGCCGATCGCAAGATGTTGAACATTAAATATAATTAAATTTCAGAGTGAAAATGATACACGATGAAGAACAGACGATGAAGAACAACCGAAGGGGACAGACGACAGGTGGCGAGTTCGAAACCAAATCAATTAATCGTTCGAATGTGGTTTGTTTTCATGTTATTAAACTAATGTGTGTTGCGCGCCAATCACATGCCATCTTAAACGTCAGTTGTATATACCTTATCTAGCTATAGAAAACCAAATAAAGACAAATGAGTATATAACATTTAAATTGTTCTCATCATTCTCTATATATTGTGCGAATTACGTGTAGGTATAGGAATATTTGTAGATTACGGTAAGGCAGTGTATGTTTCTCCCCTGAGTCTGTCTGTATGTATGTCTGTATGTATGTATGTATGTATGTATGGATGTATGTATGTATGGATGGATGGATGGATGGATGGATGGATGGATGGATGTATGTATGTATGTATGTATGTATGGATGTATGGATGGATGGATGTTTGTTTGTACCTAGTACCTATGTATACATGTATGTATGTATGTATGTACGTACGTACGTACATACGTATGTATGTATGTATGCATCTATGTATGTATGTATGTATGTATGTACGTATGTACGTATGTGTGTATGTGTGTGTGTGTGTGTTTAACATTCACATATGCGTTCCCGACGTTACAGAAACAGTCATGAAGATGTTACTGCTACAGCTCTGTGTGGTCCTGGCCTCAGTCTTGCTAGCGTCCACCCAACTCACCCCCAACAACGGGACAACGACAGATACTGTGGGTGAGTTTGATTATAACATTTTAGCTTTATTTACAAGAAATACACGTGATTATAAGAAATACACGTGACACAATGGAACCGACTAATCAAATCTCTTGTTTAAATGTGTGATATGTTTGTAATTGTTATTGTGTTTGTTATTTGACTTGGTTGATTTAAATTTCTGTTCCTTATGGTGCTCTTTCAATTGTTTGAAATGAATTTCGTCAGTATTCCATTGTTAATGATTTGAAGCTTTTCGACAGATATGGCCAATGAAGACGCATTTTCTTTAATAGGGGCCTAGTTTGTCATCTATCTTAATCAAAATCCCAAGTACTTACGAAGACAAAGAACAGGAACATCTGGTGTGACTTCACACCACACAAGAATAGGAAACAAAATAAGATAGTCAAGGAACCTTTCTTCATATAGCAGGCCTCCAGGCGGCTGAAAAAAGGATCAAGTTGGGAAATTTTTTAATCAACTTAAATTGGAATGGGAAATCTATCTTAGTAAACTTGTTTACATAGCGAGGATCAGCACGCCATTCGAAGGTGACGGGTTCGATTCCTGGCACGACAACTATAGCTTTCGATTTTTTATTGTATATAGTTTGTCTTTCTACCCTTCTGCTTCTTTCTATGAATGCCCATCCATACATTGTCTCTTCGTTTATTATAGGTAACCTTCTAGCTGTAGTTTGTATTGTTAACTATCTAAGTCCCAGGCAATCCCCGATGAGTGAATGACTCTCTCTCTCTCTCTCTCTCTCTCTCTCTCTCTCTCTCTCTCTCTCTCTCTCTCTCTCTCTCTCTCATTGACCTCCCTCCATAGCATAATGTGCTCTCTTACTTTTAACATTTAGTCAGAGCTTATTTTAAAAATATGGCTTTTCCACCGGACACTACCAGTATCTATATTGCCACTTTGAAAGTAATGCGTTATGATTTTTCATCATGATTATTTCTTGTCTTTGGCATTTGCGAAACCGTCTAGTACTAAAAATGTTAAAACGCCTGTTTCTGAGGGGCGATAACATACTGGAAGGTCGTGGGTTTGAATCCAAATCAAGGCAGGTATTTTCTTCAAAAAATGTCCTAGGCTCTTCCGGGTCGACCGACCATAAAATGGGCACCGGGAATGTACTGTGAAAGAAAGCAGCCTCCGCGTTGTTGACCATATCAGCCAGTCAGTGTCGGTTGGTCTATAAAAACATGAGTCTAGTAAAGAGCTTCTTTAAGGAGCTTCCTTGATAAATTACCCAACACAAGAAGACAGGGTTACGAATACCAGCATTAGAGAGAAAGTCGGAATGAGAATATGTTTAAATTATACTGATAGACAATGAATGAAATTGTTCAGCCATCTAGTGAGAATGCAGCCAACCCAAACTGCTTATGATACTTTTTATAGCAGAGCGTCTCTGAGGAAAGCGAGAGGAAGACCAAGAAAGAGATAGACAAATGGGGTAGCAGAAACCTGCAAAAAAGATGAACAAATATATTGCCCAAGCCATCCAAGAAGAACAAGAGAAATCCAGAAAACCACGACAGTGGGCTACAACCTGGTATCAGTGAGACGACAAAACCACGACAGTGGGCTACAACCTGTTATCAGTGAGACGACAAAACCACGACAGTGGGCTACAACCTGCTATTAGTGAGACGACAAAACCACGACAGTGGGCTACAACCTGCTATCAGTGAGACGACAAAACAACGACAGTGGGCTACAACCTGCTATCAGTGAGACGACAAAACCACGACAGTGGGCTACAACCTGCTATCAGTGAGACGACAAAACCACGACAGTGGGCTACAACCTGCTATCAGTGAGACGACAAAACCACGACAGTGGGCTACAACCTGCTATCAGTGAGACGACAAAACCACGACAGTGGGCTACAACCTGCTATCAGTGAGACGACAAAACCACACATTGGGCTACAACCTGCTATCAGTGAGACGACAAAAGAATGAAACAAGAAGGCTGTTGACTTATTACAAAAGACCGGTGCACGCCGAGATATGGACAAAACAACGACAGTGGGCTACAGTGCTATCAGTGAGACGACAAAATCACGCTAAGTGGGCTACAACCTGCTATCAGTGAGACGACTCAATACCACGACACTTTTGGGCGGACAATCTGCTATCAGTGAGAAGACAAAACAACGAGAGTGTGCTAGTATAATGCTTCTGTGAGACGACAGAACCACGACAGTGGGCTACAACCTGCTATCAGTGAGAATGACAAGACCACGACATTGGGATACATATATTTATCAGTGAGACGTACACATTTTAGGGTTTTCTGAGATTCATCATCATGTAGCAGATTCCTTGCAGAACGTCGCTCTCATTTCGATCTGCCTAAAAGAAACAAAACCTCGACAGTGGGGCTCCAACCTCTTGTGAGTTTCATATTTCATGAGTCACTTATATCATGTGTCCATCTTCTTGTCAGTAGGCCCCTGCCCCTAGAAGGCTGGTACCATGCCTTCTGCTATTTGATTTTTTTTTGGTCGATCCGCAATGGTGCTTTCTGGGATTACCTGATGTAATGTAAAACTGTGGAGGCAGCGGGTTGGGGGAGAGGTCTCAGGACTCTATATAGCTTAGGGCTTCATCGAGTCTAAATCCGGCCCTTTGTCTTAGCCTCGGGATTTAAAAAGAAAGTTCGGCTTTCCGTGGATGTAAAGCTTTAGTCCATTGTGTCCACCAAATTAAAATGACAGGAGGGTGCTATTCAGACAGCATATATTTAAAAGGCGTACACATTTTAGGGTTTTCTGAGATTCATCATCATGTAGCAGATTCCTTGCAGAACGTCGCTCTCATTTCGATCTGCCTAAAAGAAACTCGTTCTCTCGCCTTTTCTCCTGCCTCTTGTAGTTTCATATTTCATGAGTCACTTTTATCATGTGTCCATCTTCTTGTCAGTAGGCCCCTGCCCCTCCTTTCTGGTACCATGCCTTCTGCTATTATTTTTTTTTGTCGATCCGCAATGGTGCTTTCTGGGATTACCTGATGTAATGTAAAACTGTGGAGGCAGCGGGTTGGGGGAGAGGTCTCAGGACTCTATATAGCTTAGGGCTTCATCGAGTCTAAATCCGGCCCTTTGTCTTAGCCTCGGGATTTAAAAAGAAAGTTCGGCTTTCCGTGGATGTAAAGCTTTAGTCCATTGTGTCTCACCATCAGAGGAGGAGGGTGCTGATCAGACAGCCGAAGCAACTGGCGACCTGCCCATATAGTGTATGTAGTAATAGTAGTAGTAGTAGCAGCAGCAGTATTAGTAGTAGTAGTATTAGTAGTAGCAGCAGCAGCAGCATTAGTAGTTGTAGTAGTGGTGGTAGCAGTAGTAGTAGTAGTAGCAGCAGCAGTATAAGTAGTAGTAGTAGTATTAGTAGTAGTAGTAGCAGCAGCAGCATTAGTAGTAGTAGTGGTGGTAGTAGTAGTAGTAGTAGTAGTAGTAGTAGTAGTAGTAGTAGTAGTAGTAGTAGTAGGAGGAGGAGGAGGAGGAGGAGGAGGAGACGAAGAAGAAGAAGAAGTCTTGTGATGATGATGTGATGATTATGACGATGGTGATTATCATGATGATAATGATGTGATTATGGTCACAAAGATGATGCTGATAATGAAGATACTGTTCGTGATGATGATGATGAGGATGGTGATGATGAAGTAACCACAATTTCTACTCTGTCCCCTCTAGCCACACCCGTAGACCCACAACCCACGCCCTCCGACCCCTGGTCAACACCCCCCACGGCTATGCAACTGGTCTTGGCCACCATGTTCTCCGGCCAGTACAGCAACGACGTCCAGCACCAAGATGACCTGTCCAAGAATGTCTCGGGTCCCAACCGGCACGACTTGATCCACGTGACATACATCCCAGTTCTCGTACGGATCCTGGGCTCTGTAAGTACTGCCAGGATATGAAACGATTAAAGTTGTAGGCCAAATGGTATTAATTTTGAAATGCAAGCAAGTGAAAATGAACACCACATTAATCAGGTGTCGTCTCCACAGTGAAGGTTCCCTGCAAATGGATCTCCAACACGCTCTGTCTCTTGTCCTGGTTGTACTTTGCCAGAACTTCTGTAGTTAACTGTTTTTGTTTCCATAAAATATGACCTAATCTTCTGTAAACCCACATTTCCAGGGACTCAGTATGAGCACTAAAAGAACACTGTTATTACAATATTCTTACCAACGCTATGCTATCAATGTCAAACATGGACACTCTCTCTAGAAGACAGAAGGAAAATAGTCACGACAGAAATAAAAAATGTACGTACTATGCTAGATGTAACAAGAAAAGGTCGGAACAGGAACGATGATATCAGGAGGAGAGTCGGCATAGAAGCAGTGCTGAACTTTATAGGAGACAGAAAAGCAAATGGTTTGGCCATGTAACAAGATTAACATCAGACAGGGCCCCACAGCCACAGAGACCAAAGGTATACAGATACAACGGTAACAGAGCCAGAGGTGGACCCCTCTAAATCGACCGCAGAAATATGACAGACACTGAAAAGTACTTTATACGAAGCGAACAGAAGGGCGAGAACATTAAAGAAATTGTAGGAACCACACCATGCCTGCAATACATAAAGAAGCAACAAATAGAGTGGTTTGGCCACTTGATGCGAATGCAAACCGACCAACTGCCTCTACGAGCATACAACGAACAGCACTACTGCCCTAGAGCAAGAGGCAGACCGAGAGTACGATGGATAGACAATATATCAGAGATCCTGAAGCAACACGGACTAACAACAACACGTGCAACACACCTGGCCCAGGATAGAAAACTGCGACTCCCCACTACGCTGTGAGGCAATTGTGGACAAGACAAGACAAGACAAGACAGAAGGGCCCGTTCCAGAAATCTCTTCCTGTCCTGACGCCGCGAGGCATTCAATGAGTAGAGGAAAGAAGAAGAAGCAGATGAAGCGGTAAATAAACCGACTAAAACTCATGCTTAATTGGAAGCTTAAATGAAAGACTTGCTCTGTTACATCTTCTTCTGTCTTCTTTCTTCTTCTGCCTTCTAGCCCCCAATGGAGCCTAGGCTCTTTACCAACTCACGCCAAGTCGTTCTATCCTTTGCTTTTGCATACAGCTCTCCCTATGTCCTTCCTATCTTTTTAACTTTACACTCTAGCTCCCTTCTTTGTCTTCCTTCATTGCTATGCCTCTGTGGGTTCCAGTCTAACGATATTCTATTTCTATTGTTCTCAGATTTTCTCAGATTCTGTCCTATCCGGCAGCATCTTTTCTTAACCTCTTGGTCCACTTGAACTTGTTTAGTTTTCTCCAAATGTTCAACATTAGTGACTATCATACCATTAAATTCCATCTATTTTGTGCAGGCACCAGTTAATGAATGTTTCTAGTTTATTAGTAATTGTATTAGTTTGTTCGCTGTGTTGTCGCAAAATTTGATATTAGAATTGAACATTTTAAGTTTAGTTTTAGTTGTAATTTCATCTGAACTCTACACTTTTCCTATTGCAATGAAAGCCCCTCGTGCTGCTGTGTTCAGATTTAAATATGAAACAATTTACGATCCAGTGCACTATTGCTGGTACTAGCTTTTGTCATGCCGTGAAGGTGTCTTTAATGTTATCGATCAGCTTTTGTCATGCCGTGAAGGTGTAGAGTGTCTTTAATGTTATCGATCCATTTTTCACGGTCGTCCTCTTGATCTTGTATCTGATCTTCAGAGTTGTCGTGCCTGTGATTGTATTTGATGTTGCTGCATTTTAACGAGCTGGTCAAAACATTTGTTCTGCTGTTTCTCGATTAATCTAGTACAAGGCGTCGTTCCCACAATTCGTCTGATAGTTTCATTATTTAGTCTATATCGGATGGTTATGTTGGTGACTTCTCTCATGTATCTTATCTGGCAAGTGGTGATTTTGCCTGCATGAACTTTACATAATGTCTATGTTTGGCACTCGTAGCCTAATGTTGGAATGATTATGCTGTTTATAACCTGTTTTTTTTTTTTAAAAACTCATAGCTGTATGTGGATGTCTCAATAATTATGATATAAATTTACATGACTGAATTTATATAAATAAATAACGGTGTCTTTTGCAGGCTGTGGCGTTTTATCATGAACAACGAGTGAACAATGCGACCCAGCCAGTGAGACAAGCCATCTACGCGTTCACACAGGAGTCGCCTTGTCTTGTCCGCATGTCCACTTTTGATATAACTAACGCCAGCAGATTTAGGTTAGATCGTTATCACCAACATCATTGTCATGATCACTATTATAATCCCTACAGTTGCCATCATTTTCATCACCATCGGGAGCTTATCACGAACTTGCCCGCACTGCGAAAGTTCCTTCCCCTGCCATTCAAGCCGCGGCAGGTCGCACAGCCTGTAGTATGTTGCGGGGGTGTTGTGAGATTTAAATACCTTCGCTTGCCGTATATATTTTTTGTTGAAGATTGTGTTGTCATTAGTCTCTTTAAGGCGCCACAGGCGCCTGTGTACAAGTAAGAAATACAGCAAAGGGAGGGGCAGACGGCGCGACTGTTCGTGTACTGAAACTAAGATTGTTTATCCTAATTTCACTAGTCACAAACCATTCAATTAGCACAAAGTGGAAATCATGACGCAAACAAGGGGTGACAACAGGAGAAAAGAGACAACGGTTAAACCGTTGACAATAAGGAATACACACCTCCAGAACGCAGGATAGGCCGTGCGACAGGCCGCTTCATGAATGAGAGGGGAAGGAACTCTCGCCGTGCTGGTGAGTTCGTTATAAGTACAAGTTATTCATTAACAGAATATGCCTCTGTTAATAAACAAGTACTGGTTCTAGAAATGGAATTTCAAGGTTGTTAAGACTTGTTGATTTTCAGTCTGTTCTAACTATGCGCTGAAAAACCACTAACGTATTTTATCCAAATTTACACGTAAGCCAACTGATGCTTCGTAATGTAAATCATATCATTTACTTTTACAACGGATATTACAGTGTGACCCCAGAAGGACTCCAGGCGTTGGAGAGACTGGAACCCCAAGATTTAGCCAACAGACCGGAGTGTGCTGCATTCTGGGAGCAGATTGGAGACGAATTCTTTACCTCATACTTGTCTACTGACCAGTGCACATTCGACGGCCCTGGGGGAATTCTGGTAAGCTTTGGACTGGTGTAACTCTAATAAGTGAACATTTTGTGAATTCGTCAGATTGGCTGGGTTCACACATCTTGGTGGAATGTTGATGCATGCTAAGGCAGACGTGGTTGAGGCCTTATCGAGGCCCGTGTAAATTTCAGAATAAAAAACTGATCAGCACAATCGGGTGAGAGTGAGGCAGCGAGAAGTGAAGAGGTTATCTGGCCGATACTCCACTCTTAGAAGAAAAACAAGAGGGACATGTAATCAGGCTGTGACTGGCGCCATTGGTATTGGAAATGTGCTGGCTGCTGAAGACGGGGACTAAGCGCTTATGTGAATGCCCTGAGTAGAGTGATGTCGATTCTTGAGTCTGCTCCTCAGTTGTGAATTCAGTTGTTTTTGGTCTTGAAACGGGTATATGAGGTCTAATTCCACCCAATAACTTCCGACCGGTCTTTACAAATATAGGCGTGGCACCTAATGACTGGTTAGTCACTGGTTTAAACAGGGTCCTTAAAATCAAGCTTAGTTTAATATCAGGTTTAATATATGGTTTAAATATGGTTTAATATATGGTTTATATCTGGTTTAATATCTGGTTTAATATTAGGTTACATATCTAGTTTAATATATGATTTAATATCAGGTTTAAAATCAAGTTTAATATCATATTTACCCTCTGGTTTAATATCAGGTTTAATATCCGGTTTAATATCTGGTTTAATATCTAGTTTAATATCAAGTTGCATATCGGGTTTAATATCTGCTTTAATATCAGGGTGCATATCTCGTTTAATATCTGGTTGCATGTCCTGTTTAATATCTGCTTTAATATCTGGTTTAATATCAGGTTTAATATCTGGTTTAATATCAGGTTGCATATCTGGTTTAATATCTGGTTTAATATCAGGTTGCATTTCTTGTTTAATATCAGGTTTAATATCTGGTTAATATCTGGTTTATTATCTGGAATAATATCGGGTTTAACATCTGGTTTAATATCAGGTTTAATATCAGGTTTAATATCTGGTTTAATATCAGGGTTAATGTCTGGTTTAATGTCTGGTTTAATATCAGGTTTAATATTAGGTTTAATATCTGGTTTAATGTCTGGTTTAATATCTGGTTGATCATCTTGAGCGGAAGATCCTAACAACAGAGATGAGATGTCTTAAAAGGTAAAACTGTAAAGTCGGGAGATGTGAACCAGTGTCATTGCACACGGTTATAAACCATAAGTGCTCTGCCATCTGTACGGCCAGTTGTTGAGAAACTGACCGCCTGTGTCGCTGTCCGCACGCAACTCCGTAGCTACAGCGACGTTCCTCCATTTACCCCAAAGTGTTAACTCTGGTACCCATTTCCTGGAGGCTGGGTGAACCTAGGGAACCGCCCAGTTTCGAACACCGACCGTGTGCTGCAGCGATTCGCAGCTGGATTTGAAAGCGAGTCTCCTATCGACTGCCCCGCGTCCCGTAGATATTCTTAAATAGCTGCCAGTGTTTGCCCCCCCCCCCCCCCCCCCCAAAAAAAAAAAAATAGAGATAAAACCTGGAATAAAGAATTATAAGAAGACTAGGACTGAAACCAGTCATACAAATAATTAAAGAACAACAAGTCAGATAGTTTGGCCACCTGACGAGAATACCCTGGTGCCAACTGCCTAAAGAAATATAATGAACACAGAGCAAGGGGAAGACCACGCTAGGTATGGAGCGACGTTATCAGGAGCAACATAACATAAATGAACATAAACTTGTACAATGCACTGGAAAAGCGCAAAATATGGACATCGTTCCTGGTGACCTCGAGAGAGCGTCCATTCATGTAATTTCCGGGGGAAAAAAACTAGGCAGAAACCACGGAAAGCTCCATATCACGCCGGGCTGCATAGATAGCTGGCTGTGCTCCAGATTTATAAGGCCGTTCAGCTCGAACGGGAATTCCCGTTCTTGTGCAAGAATTGAGTCCCTCTGCGTCCACACTTTTTATCGAGGAGATGTATACGCAAATTAAACTACAGTTTCATTAATTTTCGACATATTTTTTAGAACTATACGTCATTTTTAAGGTAAATAAGTGTGCCGAAAAAATATAACAATAAAGGCTCTTACAGACAAACAAAAATGCTTTTGCTACAGTCAACATGAACATAAACATCAATAACGTTTAGATGTAAACTAAAAGTTGTTCCAGCAAAAGTAAAGAAATATCAGTGCTAACTCTTTGATTCTGAGAAGGTATTGTTGCATCAGAGGAGCGGGGGGGGGGGGGGGGGGAGCTGGCCGTGGGTGGATACAAGACACTGAAGATGGACATAGAGCGAGAGAATAGGCTAGAGAAGGAGAGACTTTTATGCGTGCAGTGGCCAGAGCGACGATCTGTGAAGGATCCGCTCATTGATTATGATTAATGTATCGTCTCACAAACATAATTTCTTTTTTTTTTTTAAACAAAACAGGAGGCAATTTATCATTTACAGTTTTATGTCTTACGAACATGATTTCTTTATTTTTGCTAAACGTAGAAACAATTTAACATTTACAGTTAAATTTTTCACAAACATAATTTCTTTAATTTAGCCAAAAAAGGAAGCAATTTATCACTTACAGTTTTATGTCTTACAAACATGATTTCTTTATTTTTGTCAAATCTGGAAACAATTTATCATTTACAGTTGTATTACTTGTGTGTGTTACAGACATGTTTTCTATATTTTTGCCCAACGGTGACTCAGATGCGACTGATAGGTTAGGATAGTTTAGTTGCGTATCCTTTACAGGACGTTGCAAAACCAACCCCAACAGCCCCTGGCTGTTGTGTGGTTTTTCTAGGCAAATTTACATCGAGTAGTTTGCCATTGCTCTGGACGGTCGGCTTTCTTGATACCACTGTCGAAACCATCCAAAGGGGCATGACCCGTAGCTGGGATCGAACCCGACATTCTGGCATTACGAAGCGTTCGCATCGACTCAGATGCGACTGATACAAGTGCTAAATTTATTAGAACCGTTAGACGTAGACGGTCAGGGTTTTTTTTAGGTTTCCGCCCAAAATGGTGTCCGCCTCGAGTGCTAGGGGTTCCGGGTTCAATCCCCGGTAAGGACTGGGATTTTTTTCCCGTGGACTTGGACTTCTAGTAACTCCCCCTGGTCTCTGGGTAGTGAGATCGGACGCCCGTGTGTTGCCCACGTAAAAAATCCCTTGGCAGTTGGAAATCGAAAATATTAGACCAACGGCTCTGCCCGAGCAAAAATTTGGAGTTAAAAATCTACCCAAAGTATTTCAGAATCCTCGCCGGTGCTGCAGTGTGCTCAGATTCATTGGACTCGGAACTTGAGTTGGAAGAAAAACGGAGCACTTATGGGTTACTACCCGTGTGTCATGATGTTGATCCGTTGTTCAAACTTCATGTCTAGGGCAAGACAAACACATTGAAATGATCCATAATTCTGGTGATCATTTGAGCAAAACATGAATGACTGGCCTACGCTGATTAATGTTTTACGAATATGATTTAATATTTTTGCCAAATTAGGACATTTTTTATCATCTACAGGTGTTTTTTTTTTTTTTTCACAAACATGATTTTTTTTCTTTCAAATATGGTGCAAAATTTAGAAACAATGCATTACATATAAATTCATCATAACATAACAAATATGATTTTGTGTGTGTGTGTGTGTGTGTGTGTATGTGCGTGCTAAATTAGTTTCCTTCCTACAAATTTTTTTCCCCTATGTGGTGCTAGATAAAGAAACAATCTGCCCTGCCCTTTAGCGTAGTTGGCTAAACCGGATTGCCCGGTGACCGGGTGACGAACTCCTTGTGGTCCGGGTTTACTCCCGGGGGTAGGAAGAAAAGCCACATTTCTATAACATTTGCGGTATTTACAATGGAATAAAGGCCGAAAAGTTGCGATATCCTAATACTGGGCTTAATGGGTTAATAACTCATGGCTTCTGGATACTAAAACAAACAAACAATCATTTATAATTATATTATATTTAAAATAAATATGATTTCTTCTTATTTTCGCAAAATTTGGATTCCCTTTATCATTCATAGTTTCATAGCTTACAAACATCATTTGTTTTTTTTTAAGCCAAATTAGGAAACAATTTATTATTTATAGTACTTATATGATTTATTACTGCTAGTTGCTAGCTCAAACTGATCACTATATTATCTAGCTTTACCTCTCACGATCATTATTATTTTTTTTTTTTATCACATACAGACTCATTATAACATAACAAATATGTTTTCCTATTTTTGCCAAGTTAGGACACCCATCATTATTAATAGTTTTATGTCTTACAATCACGATTTGTCATTTCTCCCACAGATTCGGCCCGATGGTTCCAGAAATCTAACATGTTGGGGCATGAGTTTTTCTGAAATGTGGAGAAGAGTTCCCGGTGGCCAGGTTGTCGGGGGCGCGACCAGTCCGTATCTATTGCAGAAAATTGGAAACTTGTGAGTGTTGTGTGTGGGCTGAGTTGAGTTGAGTCAACAATTGACATTACAGCACTCGGACGTTTCCATGTGTGCTACATCCATATCTTCAGCAGCCAGTGCAGAGTTCCAATACTAATGGTGCCGGTTGTAATCTGGTCATATGTCCGTCTTGCCTTTCCTCTGAGTGCAGTGAGCCGGCTGGACTATCTGGTTACACCCAGGGGCATCATTCTCTCTAGGCCTTAATAATCTTGTTTTTCTTCTGACTTTGGTACATGTTCCCAAAGGGCCTTGACTACATCTACCTAATCATGTACTTATTCACCACCCAGTGGTGCAGATCCAGCCAATCTGTCCGCCCGTTCATTCCCCACCACGCCGGCATAGCCTGGAGAAAATAATATTGTGTGCGACTGTTTCTGAGACACAGTTTTTAACTTACGTACATTCAAGGACAGCAAATAACATGGTTTGACAACTTTAAGAGAATGCATTGCGGCGCCATACCGACTACTGATTACGAAATAAGAATCATACCAAACCGGCCATAACCATAGATGTTTCCTCTCCCGCAACACATATCTCAGGTTTTAGATGCTAAATGTTTCACACAAATTCTCTTTCTCTCATACATCCCTCCTTGGAGTATCCACTCCCTATTCTACGTTCACCTATTCTTATTTGTGTTATTTAGTCTAACCTCGTGTCATCTACCAGCATTCATACATAGTCTTCAGAATGTCTCCTTTGTCCCTGTACAGACTCCGGCACGTCTTGGACATCATATCAAGATGGGTCCCTTCACAAGAAGTGAAGAAGATTAAGAAGCAAAACATAAGTCTTCTCTGAGCTCAAGATAATAGACAGACATAATATTTTAGGACTGAACAGGTTTTTGGGTTAAGCTGAGTTGAAAACTGACATCATGGAACTCGGGACATTTCCATAAGTGCTTCGTCCTCATCTTTAGCAGCCAGAGCAGAATTACAATTCCGATGGTACCAGTAAGTAATAAAGTTAGTTGCGTATCATTTACATATATAATTAACAAAAAGACAATGTTTTGATGTGGTTGTGTTCTTAGTATGCATTCAATTTTTGTGTTGTTTTGTGTGTTCTTCTATTGTTCTATCAGTGCTGATTAATACATTGTCTCTTTGTTAACTCTATATCTCTCTCTCTATCTATATATATATATATATATATATATATATATATATATATATATATATATATATATATATATATATATATATATTTCTACGGCTTTAAAAGTTCCTCCTCTGTTTACTATGTGAATGATATATCATTTACAGGGTATTGCATACACGCCCCTCCCCTGCCCCCAGGTTACATTAAACAACAGTAGAGTACAGATAAACATTTCTCATCCCAGGTATCCGGTTCCGGTCAGCGCCTTCCGCAGCAACCAATGTTTCAACATTCCCTGCACCAACAACAACAGCAGCAAGAACTCCAGCCCCGCATGGAGCATCATCAAAGACAATATTGACTACGCTAAGACAAACGAGAGCAATAACAGTAATGGAGTCTAGAATTCAATGTTAGTTTCTTTTTGAACAATCAAGACAATAATAAAAGTTGTGTACTGTATTACCTTACATTATTATCATCAGTCAAATTTAAGATTGACATATCAGCCATGTATTCATGTGAATTTGCACCTGAGACAACAGATCACGTCCTCCAAGACTGTCCCAAATACAACACATCCAAACTTTAGGGATCGCTGAGTGAATTACAACAGACAGAGAAGTTCACACCAGAGACAACAATGCAAATATAGATATCTACGAAAGAAGAAAAAGACGAAGTCAGTAGGTTCTTTATAGAACGTCACTCTCATCAAGGCACACCTGAAAGACTTTTTTTTTTAAAGGACAGTTCACATTTAGTGTTACAAATTAATTTTAAAAAATGCTAAAATCTACATAAGAAAGGTTACAATGAATATTGTCTTCTACAATTATTTTATAAAGATCAGCAAGACTGAGTCTGGTTTGTTACAATTTGTGTATGTGTGTGAACTTATGGTGCACATATGCATGAAACTGCTGAGAAATCACTGTTTAAGTTCTCTGGGTAATCAGTAGAGATAGAAGAATATTATGGCATGGAGAGAATAAGGCATCTGGGTGTAACCAGAGGGTCTGGCCGGCTCACTACACTTAAAGGTAAGGCAAGATGGACATAAACCAGATTATGACAGGTACCATCAGTATTGGAACTCTGTTCTGGCTGCTGAAGATGAGGATGGAGCATGCATGGGAATGCCCTGAGTGTTGTGATGTCAATTCTTGACTCAACTCAACAAGTAAGTATCAGTCAGTTTTTGACAGCACTGAGAATTCCTCTGTTTGTTAATAGATGATGAGATGACATTTTGTAGGACATCACTTAGAAAATAAAATCTCTTTATTTCTTTGTGTATCTATCCTCTTCTTTTCTTTTTAGTTTCAAGTTTTTTAGCATTTATCTAAAAGGTGGTGATAGGAAACTTATCTATGGCAATCGGCATATACTTCTGGCGCAACTTCATCACTAGGCACCTTCTCACTGTTGCAATTGCCAGTTGTAGCTGTCTTGTAATCAACATCTGGTAGCATGTTCTCTGTAGCTGCTTCATATCTTTCAAATCCATCTCATGAGGTGCATAAGTTGGCCAGGTAATGATACGGATCTGCACACGCTTTTAAGTTCACATCCTCATTTTGTAGAACGTGGCTAAGTCTGTCAAAATTCTGCAAAATCTCACTTTAAAAAATAAAAAAAATTCTAGCTCTTGCGTTTTACCGGCAATATTATTTGCTTCTCTTCTAGCGAGTTCCTTTTGTGACTTGTCTTAGGCCACATTCATTCTAATGCTCCTCAAATATTAGGGTAAGATTTAAAAACAAATCTCAGGAATGGATTTTATGGCTCTGTCATTACCAACACAACCTTCAAGTCAAGAAATGTCCACGGCAGCTGCTTGACGCTGGAAAAAAAAAAAGGTATACAGTAACTGCACTGTAGACAAGAAATGAACTGCCTCTTGGCTGCAGTCAACAGCACTTTTGCCTACCAGATTTAGTGAATGAACTGCACAGGGCACCATACATATATATATGCATGCACACACACACACAATTACCAGCCAACGTGCACTGGATCGCAAATTATTCCTCCCCACGTCGCTTAACGGCAGAAGTGGTTTATGATGGTGATGAAGATGATATATATCAAACACTATTTTTAAAAACGTGTGGTGCTTCCTTTTCTGTGTTGCACAAGAGCTCCCAAAAGATCTTAACCACACCTGCCTTATCATGCATCAGTTTTCTACTAAGTTATTCCAGCCAATCTGTCTGCCTGTTTACTTCCAGTGACATCATTTACCTGTACTGTGCCTGCCACTGTCCTTAGTTATTCATCGGTAACTCTGCTTCTTGTTTTTCCTGCCGCGTCTCATATACATCAGAAGTAAAAACTGTATACACAAGGGAGATGAATGGTCATAGACCAGGAGGCAGACCAAGAAGAAGATAGTCAGATAAAGTCCAGACAGACCTGCAAACACTTGGTGTCACCAACTGGAAAGAGAAGGCCAACCAGAGAGATGAACAGAGGCGGGTGATATCTATAGCAATGAACCTTAAGGGCTCGGAATGCTGAAGAAGATGTCATACACATCTCATCTTCCCTGTGTGGGTGTGGAAAGGGGGGGGGGGAGAGCTGTTGTGGGGACAAGCTAACAACAAGTTAAAAAACCCTCCAAAAAATTGCCCCCTAACAAGCATTTCGTAACAGTCTATTTATTATGGGTGTTTTCTTCGAAGCTGGAGTGCATCTGCCTGAGAGGCAAGGAACCAGCGGTCTGCATACAAATAATCCAGATCTCTAAAACGGGTGCACAAGCTAAACCCAGGTTCTGGAACAAAACTAAAGTCATAAAGTGGATGAGCAACCAAAACTTTCCGCCAGAGTTTACAGCCGGTGAACGTGAAGAAGAAGAAGATACATTTCATCTCACATGTTGTCCTTTTGCTTTTCTGGGACTTCCTTAACTTTCCTGATACCTGTCTATAAGTTGGGTTTAACTTGCCGCTCAATACGACACCACTACGTCTAGCATGAGGATGGAGGTGGAGGCGGCAACTGCAGCTTCCCGGTGGCTAGATTACAAGATGCATAAACATGTCATAATTGTAACAGACCCTGACTCTGAAAGCATGCTGAGGAAGGTCAAGACAGGGATGCTTCGAGCAGAATGGCCAGCTTTACTGAGAAGATCAGGATCCTTTCTCCAGGCCATGCATGCCATGGTGGGGAATGAATAGGCAGAGAGACTGGCTGGATCTGCACCATTGGGTTGTAAATTGATACATGACAGGGCAGATGTGGTCAGAGCCCTTTGGGAACAAGCAAGGAAGTGGAAAGTGAAACAAAATTATTATGGCCTGGAGAGAATGAGGCACCTGGGTGTGGCCAACTCACTACACTCATGGAAAAGGCAAGATGGACATACAACTAGATTACGACAGGTACCATTAGTATTGGAACTCTGCGCTGGCTGCTGAAGATGAGGACATAGCATGCATGGGAATGCCCCGAGTGCTGTGATGTCAATTCTTGACTCAACTCAACTTGCAGCCTATGTCAATTTAAAAACTCCCATCGATGAAGAATCAAACCAGTTAGTCCCAACCACAATGCAATGGGAAGGATAGAGGACTTTGGTGGCAGTGAATTCCAACATATCACTCGCCAGAATGGCAGACTTGGGAATAAAGATCGGCACAGCAAAAAAACCCAGACTGGTACACCGGACATGTCAGACCAAACTTGTTAATCAAACATACACCAACTGGTAAACTATTAGCCATCGGACGTTGGGGTTCATACTGAGGGGAGGATATGAGCACCTATGGACATGTCCACCAGTGCAAAACGATAACCCAACCAAACCGGTATGTAACTAACTAACTAACTGGTATCTAAACACAAAAAACTGGTATATACACCAAACCAAACTGGTATATCCTTTCCTGACGTTTACAATACACCAAACTATACAAACACCACACAAAACCGTATATAAAAATTACACTCAGACAACAAGGCTAGCAATAAATACACACGTGTTCACCACACCAGCCCAAACTGGTACACCACATGAAACTGTTATGTACAACACACCAAACTGGTATATACAACACACCTAAACTGGTATATACAACACATCAAACTGGTATATACACCACACCAAACCGGTATGTACAACACACCAAACTGGTATGTACAACACACCAAACTGGTATGTGCACCACACCAAACTGGTATATACAACACACCAAACTGGTATGTGCACCACACCAAAACCGGTATGTACAACACACCAAACTGGTATATACAACACACCACACCAAACTGGTATATACACCACACCAAACCGGTATGTACAACACACCAAACCGGTATGTACAACACACCAAACTGGTATATACACACACACCAACACCAAACTGTGTACAACACACCAAACTTTCATGTGGAGCACACCAAACTGGCAAAAAACGCATACAATTTCTGTGTACACCAGTTCAAATCTGCTTGTACACCACAACTAACTAGCATGCAACAGAAAACTTTTTTGTACACCATATAAAACAGATGTCATTCTGAAGGCGTAAAGGAACAAGGACAGAAATGACAACACGCTAACAAAATGCAGTAATCATTTATTATTAACATCCAAGAATCAACATATAATCAGTAAAAGTAATGATGCATCGAACAACAGCATCAAACAGAACTCTGAGCCTAGATGTCAATGTTAGGTCGGTAGGCTTCCCATTATTTCTCTCCAGGATCGCAGTCTGTATAATTAACACCTCATGGACGAGAATCAAACAGAAGCAAATCCCAGAAACACTTTTCAACCTCTTTAGATTTATTTTCCCCATGTGGGTTCCGGGGTCCCATTTTGGGGAACAAACAATGGACCCACTGCCCTCTAACAAGCAGGTCGCAGACGGCAACTAATTAGGAGTGTTTATTTTAGGTCAGGGTGTTTCCCTCAAGGGGGTATTTCCTTCAAGCCCGGGGTGTTTCCTTTAAGGTCGGGGTGTTTCCTTTAAAGTTGGAGTGCATCAGCCTGAGAGGCCAGAAACCAGCACAAATAAACCAAATCTGTAAATTGGATGTGCATGGGAAAACTCAAGTTCTGCATCAAGACAGAAGTCAAAGAGTGGGCGAGAAACCAGAACTTTTCGCCAGAGTTTAAAGACGATGGAAAAATGTACTTCACCTAACAATTATCAATCATTTTACCTTTTCATCTTTACCAGACGATAGTGTTATACTGTGCTGGTGCAGGCAATTCATTCGCAGCACACAGCAATGGTGGGTGTGACTGGCAACACCCGTCCATGTTAAGAAACATCTACCACAATTAGAGCATGGGATTTAAGGACCATTGTTGCCATCATATACGCAACATCGAATTATTCCAGTCCACATTACTCATCTGAGGCAACATCTAATTATTCCACAATCCACATTGCCGATCTGAAAGCAATGTCTAATTATCTCCTATTTCACAATACACATTACTGATCCGAAAGCAACATCTAATTATTCCACAATCAATATTACTTATCTGAATTATCTCCCATCTTGCATTCCCAAACACCAGTCTTCCAGACACCTAAATCCCCGTGCGTGTGTTCTGGGCCCCAACTCTGTGTGTGTGTGTGTGGGGGGGGGGAGGCGGAGGAGCTGTTGATAGACACACTACTCCCTTTAAAAATCATGCTATTAGAGAAATCTAATTGAGAACTTTGCTGAAACTGGATGCGCTGGGCAGAAAAACACATGCTAGCTTTAAACCACAACACACCAAATGCCCTTTTGAGGGCAAATCAAGAAGAAACATCTAAAACAAAATTACCTCCCATGTCAGAATCAGCCTTCAAGGGGAAATACAAGGAAATGTGGAGAGAACAAACAAACAGTCAACATCCACAAGACCCCACTCAGCAGACTCAACAAAAAAGCAACATACAACAATTTTCCATCTACGAACAGGACACTGCGGGCTCAACTACCACATGCATAAAATAAAGATTGTAAGTCTCCACAGTGTGCCTGTCAGACAGGACCACAAACACCTGAGCACATTCTGCAGACGTGCTGACTCTATCTACAACTTCGGAAAAAAAAGACACCTGGCCTCAAGAGCAAAGTGTGCAGAGCAAGCTATGGGGAACCTTGAAGGACCTGCTGCTGACATGCGAGTTCATAGAGGCAACCCACCTGATGGTCTGATCTGAGCATACGAAACTGAACGCAGAGAAGAAGAAGAAGATAATTAGCACAACAAACTAACTGTATGTGAACTTCTATGTAATCCTAACTCTACAGCATTTTCTGACTAAATAAGGCCTAGCTGAATGCATAAGAAATTCTACTGAACATCACAACTTTGACCTATTATGACTAAATCTGCCCCAGCTGAAGTCAAATGTTCCTGTAAGCCTTAGTGATACAGGTCACAGCATAAGCATGGGGAATGTATTCCATTCAATGCTTCAGTCTCTTCATGTTAATTTATTACTCTCTGTGTGTCTTTATTTTTTGCTAGCCACACTCGCAATAGGCTGTGAGTCCCATGCCTTCTCATAGCGATAATGTTGAATAGAGAATTCACATCACATCACTCGGGACACTCCCATAAGTGCTCAGACCCCATCTTCAGCAGCAAGCGAAGAGTTTCAATTCCGATGGCACCAGTAGCTGTCTGATTTTACATAACAGCACAATATAACATTATCATCAGGAAAGACGCAAAATGCCAGTTATCTCTATTTATATATTTCGGGGGGGGGGGGGGGGGGGGGGTTTTCAATGAAGATAAATGTTTTTTTTTTTTGCAAATTTAACCACCTGTGTAAAATTGTGCGCACATTTTTTTAAAGGAATTATTTTCCAGAAATGTTCACCTGTTCAGGGCCCATTTATTTTTAAGGTTCGCGGGGTGAAAGGGCCAGCATAAGCTAGATGTACAGAAGATTCTACTACACCAAATTACTAATTCATCTGTTTGTGAAAACAGCTCAACAGTTTAAAACTGAAAGATTCAATGTCACTGTAGTGTTTTTTTTTTAATTTCAAATGAGCAGGTCTCTCTTCGCAGCAGTTAATCACCTGCTAAAATCATCATACAAAACATGAGCTTCATAGCTCCAGCAACGATCACCGAGTACAGAAAAAGGGATCCTTTTTCACAACTTTTGGTCTATCAGGGATATAGGGTTGGACATATATTTTAGACCAATTGGTACTCAGTGGGCGAAGTGGCAAACACCACGCAGGCCACCTGTAATTCCAAGGACTTTATCTGGTACCCATTTGAGGATTGGAGCCCAGGTAATTAAAAAAAAAAAAATCTGTCTCCTAATTGGATTTGAACCCATCACCTTCGGATGTGCAGGTGTGTCTAGAAGCGACACCACAGGGCTCTCTGATCATCCTCTTCAAAGAGTCAACTCATACAAACGAACACACAACTTATGAAGCGTGAGGTGAATGGCTTCACCACTTTGCCAGGACTTCCCAGGACTGCACCTGGTACCCACCCAAGGCTGAAGGAAAAAAGTCCTGCTCTGTCAGGACCCGAACCCACCACTGTTCGATCCTCAGGTGAGGATCAAGCTGCTAGGCCATGGTAACTCGCATACAGGCAGTAATCAACAAACACACAAGCAGAGTGAAATACTGACCGGAACACATTCCCCAAGGCTTACGAAATATGTATCAGTTGACTCAAGCTGTGACTATCACTGAGGCTACGGGAACTTATGGCACCAACATGGCTCTTTAAAAGCCATCTGGTTCCCACAAAATCCCCTGTAATGCTAGCATTAGTAAATATATCCACACCTTGACCTCGTAAATTGTGTGCAAGCACAAACACATCCAACGCTGATAGCAAGGTGTCTTAAACAAGTCACTGTGAACATGCCGTTTAAGGTGCCTTTCTGGTTTACGGCTCTCCAGGGGGGAGAAAGACGGGTTCATTCTCAAACAAAAATACTTCATGTTACTTAGAGCATGATTCTCTAAAGATTGTTTTATTTGGAACCAAAGTGAGGCTAAATACAACAGGTTTACAGCTGAGAAAGTAGCCACAGAAAAGTACACAACCCTCTTTATATCTTAGGCTTAATGTGGATACTGTGCAAGATCACACAACCCTCTTTATATCTTGGGGTTAATGAGGATACTATGCAAGATCACAGAACCCTCTTTATATCTTAGGCTTATTGGGGATACTGTGCAAGATCACAGAACCCTCTTTATATCTTAGGCTTATTGGGGATACTGTGCAAGATCACAGAACCCTCTTTATATCTTAGGCCTAATGAGGATACTGTGCAAGATCACAGAACCCTCTTTATATCTTAGGCTTAATGAGGATACTGTGCAAGATCACAGAACCCTCTTTATATCTTAGGCTTAATGAGGATACTGTGCAAGATCACAGAACCCTCTTTATATCTTAGGCCTAATGAGGATACTGTGCAAGATCACAGAACCCTCTTTATATCTTAGGCTTAATGAGGATACTGTGCAAGATCACAGAACCCTCTTTATATCTTAGGCTTAATGAGGATACTGTGCAAGATCACAGAACCCTCTTTATATCTTGGGCTTATTGGGGATACTGTGCAAGATCACAGAACCCTCTTTATATCTTAGGCCTAATGAGGATAATGTGCAAGATCACAGAACCCTCTTTATATCTTGAGCTAATTGGGGATACTGTGCATGATCAAAATAAATATTAGCCGAGTATATCAAACCTGATATCTCAAATTGTGCAGAGGATACCAGCCTTATCCTAGGAAGAGGAAAGGCAACCTGAAAACCTTATGTTATGGCAGGGCAGACCAGGGCCTTATTCTCGGCTGTCAGCTGGTCTAGGCGGGAAGCTCCGAGAAACAGACAGATAGAGCATTGCTCTTCTGATCTGGCAGCTACTGCAGCCTGCTTTCTTCCAAACATATTGGTGTTACTTTTCCCCTTTAGTAATCAAGGCCGGTAGAGAGAGAGAGAGAGGGATCATGGTGCATGGGCAACACATGGTCTCCGCAATACTGCTCAAGCTTTATGCTATGGAGAGGATGAACTTCATGCCTGGCTGTTAGTTACACTTGCCTTCGCCACGGGCTGTAAGTCTCATGCCTCCTCACAGCACAACATAACACTATCATCTGGAAAGATGGAGTGGTACCAATTAATACTCTTATCAACCAATCGGTAGTCGGATGACACAGTCAACATCACGCCATCCACATTATCCTTCTTGGATACTACATGGCACCAATTTAAGGTCAGGTCCGACCTGGTGGCCCAAGTCCAATTTTATTTTTAAGAACTATCAGTGCTTTATTAATATCCTACCCCAAACAGGGGAAATCCACAGGTCAGGGGACAGTCTGATATTTCAGGAGGTGGTAAATAGGCTGCATGCATTCGTAAGACCTAGGCTGCACTTTCTCATGGGACGTAGGTTGGTTGGGGGTTAGGGCCAGTTCTAGCTGTTCTTGGGTTGCTAAAAGCATCAGACACCCGGGAAACCCAGACTTACCACCCTCTAAAATGTTGAACTGTCCTGTGACGTCATCTGAGGTAGGATATTAATAAAGAATTGAACTATCTAAATGTGGATTTGAATGCACAGTTAAGAACCGGTAATTCCTCTCAACAAGGGAATCCGTAAAATAACGCCTGAGTACAGTCATTCTTAACCAGTTCCCACAAATCTCTATTCACGGAATCAGTAAAATAACAAATTAAAACTTGGAAAAATAATGTAAAAACAAAGTCAGTTGCCGAGGGAGAACAGATCTCCTGCTGATGGCAAGGGAGCTAATCCACCAGTAACATCTGGTAAAAGCGTGAGATCTGGGAGATTCTGGATGTGAGACATCAACTCATGCCGGACGCTGGTCACTCTGGTAAGCTTGTCTTTATAATCCTGGGGAAGATGTACTTAGGTGTAAAAATGGTGAAAGATAAAATTTAAAAAAAAAGTATGTTGTGACCTTTTAAGGACGTTGTTGAACCAACCCCAGCATTTTTTGTGTTGTTTGTGATTTTACTAGACAATTTTATGTTCAGTGGTTTGCCAATGCCTTCTGAACGGACAGCTCTCGATACCAATGTCAAAATGAATGCAAGGCGGTCTGCTGCCAAATCATCTGCACATTGGATCGAACCCAGCATTTCAGTTTTACGAAGCGCATTTGCAATGCCTAAATCACCAGCGCAGACGGTGAAAATGTAAAGAAGTGTTTTTCAATCAGTGGAGAATGTGTAAAAACAGTGGAATATGTACAGAGGTGGGGTAAAAAAAGTGGAAGATGTACAGAGATGGAGTAAAAATAGTGGAATATGTACAGAGGTGGTGTAAAAATAGTGGAAGATGTACAGAGGTAGTGTAAAAATAGTGGATATAAATAGAGAGGTGGTGTAAAAATAGTGGAAGATGTACAGAGGTGGTGTAAAAAAGTGGAAGATGTACAAAGGTGGTGTAAAAATAGTGGAAAATGCCTAGAGGAGGTGAAAAAAAGTGGAAGATGTACACAGGTGTAAAAATAGTAGTAATGCACCAAGGAGGTGTAAAAATAGGGGGAAATGCACCGAGGAGGTGTAAAAACAATAGTTGAAGATGTACAGAGGTGGTGTACAACAAAAAAAAATAGTGGAAGATGTACAGAAGTGGTGTAAAAATAGTGGAAGATGTAAAGAGGAGTTTAAAAAATAGTGGAATATGCACACAGAAAGTGTAGATGAAAGCTGTTTCCAGATGGCGTGAAATTGCTGGTTTCTGTGACCAAGACAACACGATCTCAACTCATTTTTTTTGTATAGCTATCTGCCCACCAGCAGAACCAGTACATTTCTCCTCCTCTTTCTCCAGTTACCTCATCAAAGTGTACAAATATTTTTTTAAGACTTCCTTTCTTTATCTCTATTACCCCAATTAGCCACAAAACCGGCACTTCTGGTTGTTAGCCAATTCACAGTAAATATAACTTTTCCAATCTGTCTGTACAGACCTTTTTACGAGATGTAAAGTTAACACTGTTGGCTTTGTTCATGCCTGCACATTATTTAGGAGGCCAGGGTGTGAATATATTAACTAAAAATAGGTTGGGGGGAAGGAGAGGGGGGGGGGGGGGGGGTCCCTCCCCCCCCCCCCAAATCTTTAAAGTCAAGTTCGTGTCACACTCACCTGTAAACTTCAGTGATAGAGGTTGCGGGATGAGTCTCACCCAAGACAGATTTCTTAGGCCCCATGGAATGTATTCTAGCTCCACTGTTTTCATTGATTACACCTTTTTTTATATGTTTATATATTTCGGAAAAAGGAGGGGGGGGGGGGGGAGGAGGGTTGTCGAATCTTGAAACGACAACCCTGTGCAGGTTAAAATATTAAAAAAAGGTTGTTGCGTATCCTTTACAGGACGTTGCAGAACCAACCCTAACAGCCCCTGACTGTTGTGTGGTTTCTCTAGGCAAATTACGTCCAGTAGTTTGCCATTGCTTTCTGGACGGTCGGCTTTCTTGATACCACTGTCGAAACCAACGCAAGGCGCATTGCCTGCAGCTGGGATCGAACCCGGCATCCCGGCATTACGAAGCGAAGTGTTCGCATCGACTTAGCCACAGAGCCGACGTTAAAATATTACTCCCCCCTTAATCAATTCAGCCAGCTACCCCTTGAGACAACACCCCCCACACCAAAACAGCATGCCCATTTACCTCCATACACGATCCACACAAACACAACATACCTGTAAGTTTTTTTCAGCAACTTTGGCCTGCGACTGTTGACCCAGAATAAATGAACGGAGCATCCGGGCCACCTTTTTTCTTTCCTCCAGCTCTGCGACCAATCGCCGATTGTACTCGTTCAGCAAGAGTGCTGCCTCATCGACCTTTTCGGAAAGTTTGTTAGCAGAGTCTCGATCTGAAATAGATAAATGACTGCGTGGAAATGGATAATCCTGCCGTTCTAAGAAGATTAAATCTGCACTTCCTGTTGCCCATACTGCTCCGTAAATGCCATTATAATCATCATTTCTGCAGTGGTCTGTTCTCAAAGAGCGTACTTAAATGCCACTAATTCTGTTTTCAGGAGGCCTGGACATGAATATATTGACAAAATTTAGCGTTCAGAGGAGTTTTCTTGTGAATCCAAAGGCTGTTTTTAAAGCCAGACTGACTTAGTTTTTAGTAAGCCTCAGTGATAGGGGATACAGCAGGAGTCATCCGATTTGTTTTAGGCCCCAGAGAATGCACTCAACATTATTTTTGTTTACTGACTACTCTCTTTACATTTCTATATATTTCAACAACAACAACAAATACATATAATTTTAACCAATCTATTAGTTCTTTTCTTCTGCTTCTCTTCCACCTTGTACCTCAGTGCCACCGTCGCAACAAACAAATAATTACATAAAACTGTCTGAAATGTCAAATAACAAACAAAAATACATAAAACATTTCCAAAATGTCAATTCAAATGACAAACACATGAATATACAAAACTGTCTGAATGACAAATAGATGAATATAAAGTCAAAGATGTGAAACAGCGCGTCACTGGACGCGTGTATAAACCATAAGTGCTCTGCCACCAGTACAGACAGCTGATAAGAAACTGTCCCCTGTGTCACTGCCCACAGGAAGCTCCGTAGCTACAGCGATGTTCCTCCATTTACCCCAGAGTATTATTAACTCTGGTACCCATTTCCTAGAGGCTGGGTGAACTCCGGGAACCATCTGGTTTCAAACCCCGGCCATGGGCAGCAGCAAGTCGCAGCCGGATTTGAAAACGAGCCTTCTATCGACTGCACTAATGCAGCCTCGTGAATAGATGAATATTTAATTGTAACACTGTGCCCAGGATTTGTTTAAAACACAGGATGGTACAAAAAACCTTTAGGTAGCATCACGGAGGGAACAAACTGTTAGATGTACTGACCAAGAAGAGAAAGTCTCACCTTGTACTTTATCAAGATGGCTGATATCGGAGACCTCTGGTGGTAGGGCAGCGATCCGTTCTCTCACCGAGGCATCACACGACGCAGAGTTTTCAAGGTCGGATAACCTCTGTACTAGCTCCTCAGCCTGCAAAATGATTGTCACCACAAGAGAAATAAGATGGTATCAAGCACAGAGCATGTTGGGAAAGGTGGAGACTGGCATTCTTTGTGCAGAGTGGCAAGCATCACTTCAGAGGTCCCAGGTATTAAGCGTCCTTTGGATATTTTCTCCACGTCATGCTGGTGTGTTGGGAAATGAGCAGGCAGATAGACTGGCTGGCTCTGCACCACTTGATCGTGAAGTGATGTATGATAAACTAGATATTGTGAGGGCCCTTTGGGAACGAGTGATTAGTGCGGAGGCACAAAGAGATCATTACGGTCTGGGAAGAATGGGGCAACGAGGAGTTACCAGGGGATCTGGCAGACACTCAGGGGAAGGGTGAGACGGATAAACTATCAGACAGTTACTGTTGTTATTGAAACTGGAACTCTTCCCATGCTGCTGAAGATGGGGACGGAGAGCTTAGGAGAGTGTTCTGAGTGCTATAATGTCAATTTCTTATTCAAAATTCAACAAGAACAATAATTATAAAATATAAAAACATATAAAACAATCAAATTATTTCATGGACCCTTGCAAAAGAGGTAGCCATCAGAGAACAACAATTACTAAACAAAACGAAACATATCAAAGCAATCTATTCTCCTCCCCATGAGAAATCTAAGGTCACATTGTGGGGAAAAACAAGAACTGACCCATTGTCTCCCTAACAAGCATGTCCTAAAAGTCGACTAATTGAGGGCTTCTTTCAAAGTCAGGAAAAACACTACCCACAGGGCTGCAGTAGCCCAGGCAGTGAAACTGCAGACTACCGACCATATGTGAAAACTGCCTTAGCAAAGCGCTGTCGGGAGGCAAAAAAATAACTTTAAAGCTTAACACTCAGCCCTGCCTAATCCTCCAGCTTAGGCCAAAAGTCCCTATCTGCTTTCTAAAAAGTCCAACTTGGTACATAACATTTGGAATATGACTCATGAGCTTGAACTTCTGAGACTCAACCAGATCCTAGAAGGGAAAAAAAAGAGAAAGAAAAAAAAAAGAAATAAAGATACAAAACTAGAATTTCAGATTCCTGAAGTTTTTTTTTGCAGTGGGACCATCCTTCCAGACAATAACATCCCCTCCTCTCCCCTTCTCAGCCCCATCCTAGTAGTCACTTGACTCTTGTAAAGTGAGGTCAAATTTGTCATTTATTTCGTCCAATGGCTTTTGCCTTCATTGTTTTAGTATTAAGCAGTGTTTCATTCATTCATTCAGTAGCATGTCCCTCGCGGAACCTCGCTGCCATAACAACCCTCCGGAAAACCTTCCTATCCTGAGCAAGATGTCCTGCGTCTGATACACCCATCTGGAGATCATCTGCCACATCCTGCACCCATCTTCTCCTTGGCCTTCCTCTTCCTCTCTTCCCAGGCATATACCCCTCCATTATTGTTCTCTCTAGACTTCCATGACGTTTCAAGTGACCAAAATATTTCAATTTTCTTTGTTTTATTGTCTTTACTAGCCAACCCTCTTCAATATTCAGCTCTTGAAGTATGGATGCATTTGTTCTTTTCTTTACCCAAGATATTCTTAGAACCTGTCTGTAACATTTATATTCAAATGCATTTATGCGCTGTTTCGCTTGTTTAGTAAGTGTCCAGGTCTCACAGGCGTATGTTGCAAAGGGAAAGATGCATGCTCTTAAAAATCTGACCTTTGTAATTAAGCAGTGGTTACATTATTTTATTCAGCCGTACACACAGAATGGATAAGACAAGACACCCTCATCAAGCCCTCATGTGGACACTGGAAGGGAGAAGAAAACGGGGAAGAGAGACTACATAGAACCATTATCAGTGAAGGCTCAACCATGGGCCTAATAAACATCCCAGACTTACAATAGGTGGCAACGAATCGCCAGACATGAAGAGTTACAACCTCTGCCCTATGTGTCACCCTAGGTTCAAGAGGAAAAGGCTAACTTACTAACAGTATTTTATACAACCTATTAACGTATAATACGAAAAAAGAACCACAAGCTGGATGTTGTGAGTGAACAGTGCCGAGGCACAGATAGATCATTAGAGTCTGAGGAGAATGGCACTGCGAGGAGTTAACAGGGAGATCTGGTCGACATGAGACGGGTATACAATCAGACAGTTACTGGTACCATCAGAATTTTAATTCTTCGCTTGCTGCTGAAGTTGGGGACGGAGCGCATGGGGGAGGGGTCCCGAGTGCTGTGATATTGATTCTTAATTCAACATAACAAAAGAAGCTTCTTTCCACGGATTAACCATTCTTATGGGAAAATGTGTTTGGTAAAAGTAAGTTCTGTCTGGCAAAAGCTCAAGGATCTGGGACGCATTAAGGATGAGTTGAGTTAAGTCAAGAATTGACATCACAGCACTCAGGGCATAACATGTGTACTCAGTCCTCAACTTCAGCAGCCAGCGCAGAGTTCTAATACTGATGGTACCGGTCACAATCTAGTTATATGTCCATCTTGCCTTTCCTCTGATTGTAGTGAGCCGGCCAGACCATGTGGTTACACCCAGGCGCCTCATTCTCTCCAGACCATAATAATCTTGTTTCTCTACGGATTCCGTTGCTTGTTCCCAAAGGGTCTTGACCACCTCTGCCTTGTCATGTATCAACTTACCACCCAGTGGTGCAGATCCAGCCAATCTGTCTGCCTGTTCATTACCCACCACGCCAGCAAGGCCTGGAGAAAAGATCCAAAGTATGCCCACTACACATGACCTTCCCAGTGAAGCTTGAATAAATTAAGAATGAATACTGAGGTACCCCTGTGTGTATGTATATAATACAGTTCAAACTTACATCAACATTCTGTGGCAGCTGAACACCCATTGCTTCTATTTCCTGCCTCAAAGAGAACTCCTCATTCTTCTTTACTTTCTTTGGTTCTGAAAGAAATTGGGGGAGAAAATGAAATCAATTTTCTATGGTTGTGAGTCAAGTAAGTCAAGGTTCCCTTTTCCAGGCCTGTGGGTGTACTGGGCATATAGGGTTAGACCTATATTTATAGACCCATCGGCACTTGGTGGGTGATGTGGTTAACATTCCTCCAGCCACCTTTACTTCCCAAGACTGCACCTGGTACCCACTCAAGGCTGGGTCGGCCTGGGAGCCTAGGTCATTTTTTAAGAAAGACCAGTTCCGCTAGGACCCGAAGCCGTGACCTTCCGATCCACAGGCTAAGGTCTAGTTGCTACACCACGGCAACTACCTGTGGATACGAGTAGAAAGAAAGTTTCACATGATGTGATTTAAAGTTAATTTCAAGTGACGAAAGTGAATCAGTCATCGCCATGGTCAAATAACACTATGTCCCGTCACATGTCGCTGTCGACTGCCTGACCAGCTCCGTCCACATCTATTGGTCAGATGCAACTGGAGTCGACATCTGCCTGTCTAAGGCCTATTCAGTAATATTCTGTATCCAGTTCTTTCTTGGTCTGCCTCTTCTCTGATTCCTCTGCAGAGCCTTGTTTAGTGTTCTGGAAAGGTCAGCAGATATAGTTATGTGTCTGTACCACTGCATTTTCCATTGAGAATCAATGAACCGATAATCAGAAGGTTGAAAGACTTGAGAATCAATAAACTGCTGATTAGAAGAATGAAAGAATTGAGAAACAATAAACCGATTTGATTGAAGAACTGAGAATCAATAAACAGATCCCCCGTGTGGGTTCCGGGGCCCTATTGTGGGAAAAACAAGAATAGACCCACTGCCTCCCCAAAAGCATGTCGTAAGAGTCGACTAACTGGGGAGCTTCCTTTGAAGTCGGAGTGCATCTGCCTGAGAGGCAAGGAACCAGCAGTCTGCATTCAATTGAATCAGATCTGTAAAACTGATGCACACGCAACACTCAGGTTCTGGAGCAGGACTGCAGTCCAGAAGTGGACAAACAACCAGAACTTTACACTAGAGTGTACAGCTGGTGAACGCAAAGAAGAAGAATAAACGGATGATTAGAAGGGTGAAAGAACAGAGAATCAATGAACGGATGATTAGAAGGGTGAAAGAACAGAGAATCAATAAACGGATGATTAGAAGGGTGAAAGAACAGAGAATCAATAAACGGATGATTAGAAGGGTGAAAGAACAGAGAATCAATAAACGGATGATTAGAAGGGTGAAAGAACAGAGAATCAATAAACGGATGATTAGAAGGGTGAAAGAACAGAGAATCAATAAACGGATGATTAGAAGGGTGAAAGAACAGAGAATCAATAAACGGATGATTAGAAGGGTGAAAGAACAGAGAATCAATAAACGGATGATTAGAAGGGTGAAAGAACAGAGAATCAATAAACGGATGATTAGAAGGGTGAAAGAACAGAGAATCAATGAACGGATGATTAGAAGGGTGAAAGAACAGAGAATCAATGAACGGATGATTAGAAGGGTGAAAGAACAGAGAATCAATAAACGGATGATTAGAAGGGTGAAAGAACAGAGAATCAATAAACGGATGATTAGAAGGGTGAAAGAACAGAGAATCAATAAACGGATGATTAGAAGGGTGAAAGAACAGAGAATCAATAAACGGATGATTAGAAGGGTGAAAGAACAGGAATCAATAAACGGATGATTAGAAGGGTGAAAGAACAGAGAATCAATAAACGGATGATTAGAAGGGTGAAAGAACAGAGAATCAATAAACGGATGATTAGAAGGGTGAAAGAACAGAGAATCAATAAACGGATGATTAGAAGGGTGAAAGAACAGAGAATCAATAAACGGATGATTAGAAGGGTGAAAGAACAGAGAATCAATAAACGGATGATTAGAAGGGTGAAAGAACAGAGAATCAATAAACGGATGATTAGAAGGGTGAAAGAACAGAGAATCAATAAACGGAGAATGAAAGAACAAGATGATTAGAAGGGTGAAAGAAACAGAGAATCAATGAACGGATGATTAGAAGGGTGAAAGAACAGAGAATCAATAAACGGATGATTAGAAGGGTGAAAGAAAGAGAACAGAGAATCAATAAACGGATGAAGGTTGAAAGAACAGAGATCAAATAGAAGGATTAGAAGGGTGAAAGAACAGAGAATCAATAAACGGATGATTAGAAGGGTGAAAGAACAGAGAATCAATAAACGGATGATTAGAAGGGTGAAAGAACAGAGAATCAATAAACGGATGATTAGAAGGGTGAAAGAAACAGAGAATCAATAAACGGATGATTAGAAGGGTGAAAGAACAGAGAATCAATAAACGATTAGATGATTAGGAATTAGAAGGGTGAAAGAACAGAGAATCAATAAACGGATGATTAGAAGGGTGAAAGAACAGAGAATCAATAAACGGATGATTAGAAGGGTGAAAGAACAGAGAATCAATAAACGGATGATTAGAAGGGTGAAAGAACAGAGAATCAATAAACGGATGATTAGAAGGGTGAAAGAACAGAGAATCAATAAATGATTAGGATGATTAGAAGGGTGAAAGAACAGAGAATCAATAAACGGATGATTAGAAGGGTGAAAGAACAGAGAATCAATAAACGGATGATTAGAAGGGTGAAAGAACAGAGAATCAATAAACGGATGATTAGAAGGGTGAAAGAAGTGAGAATCAATGAACGGATGATTAGAAGGGTGAAAGAACAGAGAATCAATAAACGGATGATTAGAAGGGTGAAAGAACAGAGAATCAATAAACGGATGATTAGAAGGGTGAAAGAACAGAGAATCAAGAAACGGATGATTAGAAGGGTGAAAGAAGTGAGAATCGATCTGTGTTTGGCACTTGGACCTATGGCAAGTCATGATGAATGTGCCTATACCAGCAAGCTGAATCTACTCAAGCAACCTATAGTCAAGTGTATCTGGACGTCTGACAGACAACAAAAATGACAGTGGTGAACGACGTAATCAATGGAGGAATGCAGGTGCTAACCTCCTGTGGGTGTAAAAAAGGAACATTTGTTGACAGAAGAATATCTGCTATAAATTTTGATAACAGAATTGAGGCAAGAGCCTGTTCTCCAACCCAGACGGATAAGACGCAGTAGACAGAGGACTATGAACATCTTGGAACAGCTATTAGGCATGCCTCGTTGAAAAGTATGTTCTGCCGGTCTGCTGTGAACTTTGATGAGTGTTGTCGCTGTTACTGTCATTTTAAAAGGGACTGCTGAGACCCCAGTCATCATTATCATGTAGCAGGTCCTTTGCAGAACGATGCTCTCAACACGGTCTGCATGAAAGAAACTCGATCTCTCGCCAGCTCTCCCACTTCATGTACTTTCATACTCAAGGAGTCACTTATATCCTGTGCCCATCTTCGTGTCGGCCGGCCCCCGCCCTTCCTTCATGTATACTCTACATATATCTTGGTCAAAGATATTCTGAGAATTGTTCTACAGCATTTGAGCTCAAAAGCCCCTATTCTCTTTCTTAAGGACGGGGAGTTAGTCCACGACTCACATCCGTATGTTACTACAGGGAAGATGCATACTTTCAAAATTCTAATTTTTATCTCCTTGCTTAACCATAGACTTTTAATGCTGTTTAATCTTTGCATTGCTATGGCCATCCTCCTTTTAATTTCTGTCAAACAGTCTCCATTGCTATTTATTATAGAGCCTAGATATTCAGTTTGTGACATTTGAGGCCCCAGTAATTTTGTGAATTGAACAACCTGAAAAAAAAAAAAAGGAAATACATTACCTGCTTTCTGAACAACTGGTTCTGGTTTCACAACTTTTGCTATTGCTTTTGGTGGCTTTGGTGGTTTCGGTGGCTTCAGTCTTTGCTGTGGCGTCGATGATGCTGAATCTGTTGAAATTATCAAAACGCAGTGAGGATAATGCTATTACCTTTACTGTGAAGTATATCACGCTCACAGCAAGCAAACAATATAGGGTGTACTGCTTCATATGGAAGGAGTTATCCTTATCTGGATAAAGGCTCCATTTTGGATAGGCTGGGGGGGGGGGGGGGGGCTGGGGGAAAGGAGGAACCAGGCACTGCCCTTAACAGGCATGCGGTAAGAGCTGACAAATTAAAGGTGTGCTAAAATCTGATTTACCGGGCAGAAAGACAACAGATATTGCAGCCTAGCTGTCAACCACAACATGCCAATAGCCTTTTGAGGGGGATGCAGGAGTGGCTGACGCCCTTGTCCTACATCACCCTAGAAATGACTATTTACAGACAGTAAATGACACATGGCAGAATCAGAATTGCTGCTGCCGCCCCACTGGGCAGTGAGCTTCTTAATACTGAGGCGGACACGATGAAAGAATCAAGTAAACAGTTCAAGGGAACAGATACAGCATCCATATCTGGAGAGAAAGACTCAGCTGAGAGTGAGCAAAGACCCAGAAAACAGATGCTGGACAGTCTGAAATCATGGCATGGAGGATAATCTGTGTCAGAGCTGATCAAAAGTGTACACATAACAAAAGGTTATGGATAGACATGACTACCAACACGATACAACGTGGACTTTTGGACTTTAAGAAGAAGAAGAATGAAAAAACAGAAGTGGAGGAAGAAGAGGGGAAAAAATAGAACAGAAGTACTCACCAGAACCAACACACATTTTCAAACGTTTGATAAATGCCTTGTCGTAGACTCCCCTTTCCTTCCAGATATCTGTGACCCTCAAGAGAGAAGCTTTCATCTTCTCATCTGCATCTCTGAACATGTAGAAATAAAGCAAAACAGCTGATTTAGTGCTGAAGGGATGGGTCGTTCTTTGAGAAAAACAAACAAAAAGTTGGCCATATTGTTCTCTTTAGTGTTCACTGGCTGTAAATTCCAACCAAAAGTTCTGGTTGTTTATCCATTTCTGAAATTTGGTGCTGCTCCAGAATGGGAGTTGATCCCTATGGGTTCCAGTGCAAAGACATTCTAAGTTATACTGTTCTCAGGTTTTCTCAATGTGTGTTCTATCCAACACCAGCATCGTTTCTTCATCTCTTGGTCCACTGGAACTTGTTTAGTTCTCTCCCTAAAGCTCTACATTACTGATTCTATCATACCATTTAATTCCTTCTATTCTGTGCAGGCACCAGTTAATGAATGTTTGTAGTTTATTAGTAATTGCCTTAGTTGTTGTTCATGTCTCTGCTCTATACAACAATCTTATTGTGAAGACAGCACACAATTAACAATTTTAAAAAAATTCATAAACACAAACAGTACATACTTTGAAGCTTGTGTGAATGCATCTGCTAAAATGTGGGAGAAATCCTTGCTGAATTCTGGTCCCTTCTTTTTACTGTTCTGAATGACATCATTGGCCAAGTAAACAAAAGTCAAACGCTTGCTTGGCTTTGCTGCAATATTTACAAACACACACAAAAACAGATAAATATATAGATGTGTCAAACTGAATATCAGAACTCTTCTGTGTGTTATATAACATATAAGTGCTTCCAGACCAGGTCTGTGATGGATGAATTCAACATGTACACTAACGTGATTTCACTGTGGGCTTGGGGCGAGATTGAGCATCAAATCCTGTAAAAGTAAATAATACCTACACATTGAATTTAACTTTTTTTTTTAAAAACAAAATAATCGATAAATTTTTTTTTTTTTTACGTATCCAGAAACCATGAGTTGTAAACCCTTTGGCTCGGTACTATGGATATCGCAACCCTTCGGCATTGATTCCATTATAGGTACCGTTAATCTGGGAGAAATGTGGCTTTTCTGCCCACCCCCGGGAGTGAACCCGGAAAACAAGAAGTTCGTCACCAGGCCGCCGCGAAAGTCAGGTTTAACCAACTTCGCTAGAGAGCCGGGCAAAAATAATCTATATAAACTTTAATATAGGATTAGTAATGTACAGAAATGTATTGTAATTAATCACACAACTTATTTTTTAGACAACAGGAAAGAGAAACTGAAGTAATGTTAATTACAAAGAAAACTGACCCTCCAAAATGAAACATCAAAGTAAATGGGACAAACCTCAAGTAAGCTGATATGTTTAAGTATTTGAGCACGCTGATAACATCAGATGGAAGATGTATTAACCCTCTTAGCATGGACGGGCCGATTATCGGCCGGCGGATGTCTGGCCAAAAACCCGGAACATCCGATCATGTTTTGCCTCGAACCGCTAAGAAATCTCAAATTTTGAAACACTGAAAGTGATTCTTTTATATTCACTGCTGTATTAGCTTTACACATGGCGACTTTCTAGTGTTTGGTATCGAAGTGAAAATTGTTGTTGAATTTTTTAGATAGTGACCTGAACCACTAAAAGTATGTCTGACTCGTATGTTTCTGCCCTAAACTTGATGTTGATCAAATATTTGAATCAGGTGATGACACTAATTCTGTTGATACTGATGCAGGATTTAGTGCTAGTAGTAATAGTGGGAATCAGATGGGGACGCTGTTGTGTTCAGACCACAGCCCAACCATGGCTCAGGGTATATGCACCCGAAGGTGTTGACACTCCGGCACATCCATTTCTTGTGCTGACTGATGGTGAAAAACACTTGTCACCTAAAGATATTATTGCTGTTTCATATATATATATACCTGTTTTTGACTATTGAATTGCTTACAACATTTGCAAAAAGGCCAAAGATCAATAAAATGATTTCAAATAAAAAAAATTTCAGTTTTTAGTTTTATGTTTCAAGCATTTAAGTTGAAAATTCAAATTTAAATTTTCTATTTTTAGATATGCAAATGAGATAATTTGCATATACATCAATTAATTTTAACGATATTGTGAAAATCATGAACTTCTATCTATATCCTTCAAATAGATATATTATTTCATGGGGGTCAGAATAACAGAAATCTGTCAACAAAATTAAATAAAGTAATAACCAAATTCACTGAAAAAATGCTCCGTGTTTTTTGGCTAGACCTCTGAAAAACCCCGTGCTAAAAGGGTTAAAGAAGTTAAATGTAGAATAGCTCAAGAAAAGGCAGCATTTTACAAAATGAAGAATATTTTATGCAATCTTTGTTTGTCATTTGAGATGAGAAAGAGAATTCTTAAAAGCTATATAAATCCTGTCTTGATAAATGGAAGTGAACCATCGATAGTTAGAATATTATTGAAACATTATTTGGAAGTTGCGGAAATGTGGTTTTATAGATGAATGGTGAGCATACATTAGACAGAAAAAAAAAAGGTAATGAGGATGTCTTGAAAAAAAAAACTGACTCGCGAACAGAACCGATTGCCAACATCAGAAAGAGACATCATCATCATGTAGCAGGTCCTTTGCAGAATGTCGCTCTCATCACAGTCTGCCTGTAGGAAACTCGGTCTCTTGCCAGTTATCCTGCCTCATGAACTTTCACACTCAAGGAGTCACTTATATCCTGTGCCCATCTTCGTGTCGGTCGGCCCCTGCCCCTCCTTCCTGGTACCATGCCTTCTGCTATAATTTTTTTTTCCAATCCGTCGTGGCACTTGATATGACCAAAATATTTCAGCTTTCGGGAAAGGATGCTGTTTATTAGCCAATCTTCCTTGATGTTCAGATCTTTTAAGATGTCAATATTTCTCATCTTCTTTGTCCAAGATATTCTGAGAATCTTTCTATAGCATTTCAGCTCAAAGGCCCCTATTCTCTTTCTTAAGGACTGAGAGATAGTCCACGACTCACATCCGTATGTAGCCACAGGGAAGATGCATGCTTTCAAAATTCGAATTTTCATCTCCTTGCTGGTGCTTAACCATAGACTTTTAAGGCTGTTGAAGAAAGAGACAACCGAGAGAAAAGATGCTGGATAGTTTGACATGATGGCATGGAGGGTTTTCTGTGTCAGAGCTGACTGAAAGTGCACGAGACGGAGGGTTGTGGGTAGACAGGACTACCAACGTCCCACAGCATCGACTTTAGGAAAAAGAATAGAGACTGATGGTTAAACCAAGTTTTACTGTATAAACCAGTGTTCACCAAACTTTTCTTAGTCGCAGCACCTTTATTAAATTAAAATTTTTCCACAGCACCCTAACCAAAGTAAAAATATGACTATTCATATTAAGAGCTAATAAAAAAATAACTTGTGTATCTTTGAATATTTTGCGGCGCCCCTGTGAAGAGGTGGTGGCTGCCTGGGTCGCCATGGCGCACAGTTTGGGGATCACTGGTATATACAAAGTAACATAAGGAGAAGAAAATTAGAGTCTTGCTATGAACGTGGGAGGAAATGCAGTATGTAGCACAGATGTCAAAGTGTAAGGTGACTTGGCATGAGATGGTTGTGACCCTATACTGTCTTCCTCTTCTGCCTTTCTAGCCCCCAATGGAGCATAGGCCCTCAACCAACTCATGCCAACTTATCTGTCTTCAGCTATTGCATGCAGCTCTCCTCATGTCCTGCCCATATTTCTAACTTCGTTCTCCAGCTCCCTTCTCCATGTGTTTTTTGGCCTTCCTTTATTCGTATGCCCCTGGTGGTTCCAGTGCACAGACATTCTAGTTATTTTGTTCTCCGGGTTTTTCAATGTGTGTCCACTGGAGCTTGCTTAGTTCTCTCCCAAAGCTCTATATTAGTGATTCAAGGTGCAAACACGTGAAACCTGGATGAGTGAAGCAAGTATCATACTGCAGATTATCGCTAGGCTGTTAGACTGATTCTTGTAGTTCATGTGTTGTAACAAACAATTTACTCTTATCAACTAGTATCAATCGATGTGGAGGGGTGCGGCAGTTGATTGGGAAGAAACTCTGTCTCACCTACGCTGTGAACCCTAGACAACGACCAGTCTCTTTGTACAAAAAGAGAGACATTACGGCACTCTTTCGAATACCGGTCCCAAATTATTCACTGTTAAAAACATCTAATTTAGGGCCTCAAAAGGTCATATAGTTGAACATATGCAATAGGAACACTACAAACTATGCTTCGCGTTGTAATTTCGTGGAAACCAAACTAATTTTCATTAGCCCTTAAAAAGGTGGTTGGCACATTGTGGTATGGTTTACACCTAGGCTGCAATATCTGTGCCTTTCACTCTGTCTTGTGGTTTACAGCTAGGCTGTGATAGCGGTGGCAAGATGCTAAATGGTCGTGTCACTAGTAGGTAATTTTTTTTTTATTTGCCCTTGAAAGGGTGGTTGGCGCGTTGTGTTGTGGTTTACAGCTAGGCTGCAATATCTGCGCCTTTCGCCCCAACACATCCACTTTCAACAAAGTCCTAATTAGTTGCCTTTTACAAGATGCTTTTTAGGTGGCAGTGGATCTATTCAGCAAGTCACGGGTATTGTGAACAATGGACCAAAAACTATTCCTCCCCACAACGCTTTAATAGATCGAAAACTATTCCTCCCCACTGCGCTTAGCTTAACGCCTTAACATTGCTATCCATCAAGTAATAACGGCACAAGTGGAAACTGACGATGGCCTAAATGTTTTCACTGCATAACCTCTTGAAGAATTTGGGACCGGTATTTGGAAGAGTGCCAGACCTATATTACAGCTGATACATTTTTACGATCATCTTTAAAAAGGTAATCACAGTCCCAACTTCATAAGATTGGACAATAATTTTTGTTTGTTTGCAGGACCACCAGAATATATCTCATCACCACCGGTTGAAAAACACTGCATTAAACAATAAACATGACTGAACATTAAAAAAAGTACTTACTAGTATCTACAAACATACAAGTAGTTAGTTAAATTAGTGTAGCGAACAAAAGAAGGAAAACTGGTACAACTAACGGTTGGTTTTTGACATCTTTTTGTGGCTCATCTCAGGAATCAAGTTGGTAGTTACGATTACAATTTAATAATTTATAATTATAATAATTGCCAGGTTTTTTCCCCCTGGTGGTATGTAAGTTAACTAGTACAGTACTAGAACTTTTGGCTCTCCTTGCAATAACGGTTGCTAGTTGGATGGCGACGGCCGCTTCGTCAGAGTTCAGTCCCCTGGCTGCAGTGCAATTATGGAGTGGAAAAGAGGGAACGACACAAATGACATAATTAGGGCTTAGGGTTAGGCAGGCTAATGTGAGTCGCAGCGCGTGGTGTAGATGACATGTTGAACTCACTGTGTTTTGTGATTCGTGCCTTGTCCACTCCGTAATTGCACTGCAGCCAGGGGACTGAACTCCGACTAAGCGGCCGTCGCCATCCAAGTAGGTATTTTAGTCAAATTTTTAAAATGCCCTCAACACCAATAAAACCAGCACAGTTAGATAGCTGTAAACAATCTCTTTCCAATGGTACCTCATTTAGCCTTGTATGTCATTTCTGAGCTGAGATATGTAGGTTTTTGTGGAGATGAGATGTAAAAAACAGCTGCTAAAACTTGTCTCCTAGAAACAAGAAGTTTTCTCTGCGCAACCAAACTGCGCAACTTTCGTTTTGGCTTTGTTTGCATTGGACAAGATGGCAGACAATGAGACTAGCTGAGCCAGCGATTGCCTGAAAAATGTCACTGTACATCTACCTAACCACGTACCAGAAAGAAATTTTATACACAAATGTAAAATTGGACGGAGAATTTAATTATAACTAGCATTACCAGGTACAGTAACAGTTAGAGCCTAAAGCCAACCCTGAATACTTATCGCTATTTTCAATCAAACTAGTAACAAACAGAAAAACAGAGGACGTCCGGCTGTCGTAGACATGCGCTGTTAATCGGGTTCCTTCCCGCCGTTTTCAGCATTTTATAGTGGGTGAAAATCACACCAATCGCAAAATTTCATGAGAGATTAGGACCCATCCCGAAACCCCAGCCGACATTTGCGAAGCAAGTTTCGAACGGTTTCCATGGTAACGGAAATTGCCAAAAATGATCGCCAATTGCCGAACACCGTAGTCGCTAATCCAAGTAGCGACCGTTATTGCAAGGAGAACCGAACTTTGGTACTCCTGTCAAATCCGGACGAAGACTAAAAAGCCTTGGATGACTTAGTCAGAGTTCTCTCCCTTGGCCGCACTGCAAACAGTGATCGGAAAAGCCAACGAAACAAAGAAGACAGTCACGTCGACATCAGGGCTGCCAATGCTTGGTTGTTTCCCCCAGATCTGGTTTTTTTTTCGACGCTGCAGGACAAATCTGGGTTTTTTGGGTGTGTTTTTTGTTTGTTTTTTGCCGATTTGTATGCTTTAATGATCGATAAATTTGCGTGGTTAGGGGTAGGGGTTAGGGCTAGGGAGTAGGATAAGGATTAGGGTTAGCGGTAGGGTTAGATTTAGCGTTAGATTTGACAATTTTGACGCCGGAGTTCCCTATAATCGCGCACAGTCCTATACACACACAAACAATCTAGGGCCTCTGGATGCTGGTCAAACGCACATTTCGCCAACAATTGGGGGCACCAGCTGCACGCTATTGGCGTCATATTTGGCAGTTTCAGTGGCGCCACTCCCACAAACATCAGATTGTCGGCCAGTATTTCGAAATCCTACGTCAAAATTTTCACATCTAACCCTAACTCTAACCCTACCCCTAACTCAAACCCAAACACTACGCATCCCTACACGCAACCGTATGATGACTACGCATCCCTTCACGATGCCTCACGCAACCGTATGATGACTACGCATCCCTTCACGATGCCTCACGCAACTGTACGCAGCCCTAAACGCAACCGTATGATGATAGGTAAGTGTGTCGTTTGTTTCGTTGGCTTTTCCGATCACTGTTTGCAGTGCGGCCAAGGGAGAGAACTCTGACTAAGTCGTCCAAGGCTTTTTATTCTTCATCCGGATTTGACAGGAGAGCCCCGAACTTTTTTAAAAATTTAAGTGTAATTTTTTTTCAGCGCTACTGTCATAGTAATTTTAATGGTGAGAATATTTCAGTGCCGGCACCTTTTTAAAGAAACTGTTTAAAACAGTGTTTTGTAAGTACCTTAGGTTGAGTACTCAATATGAATACCGAACCGGTTTTTTTAAACGTTAAAAAAACAAAAGCTCGGATAATAATTACCGGCACGGCACAGCTTTTTTTTATAAAATGTCGCTGCATACTACAGTTATCTCAAGAAGGCGATACGACTCAAATAAAGGAAGAATCCAAAATCGAACCGAGAATTAAAAATACAATATACATTCTAAACTGAGAGAGACCACAGTACTATCACGTAGCAACAGTCAACAGCACCAAAGACAAAAGCCGTACAACACATCATGAGACACGACGACGACGGCTGAAAAGCACACGATGCTTGTAGCTCACCTTTCTCTAGTTCCCTATACCATATCTGCACAATTGTTTTCGAATGTTTCCTGTGATGAATCAACCACAAGGACAACGTCTGGATGCTCTGCTGAGTGTTGTTGAGTTCGGCAAACTTCTTGACCAGGTTGGAGTCCGAGAACGACGACATCTTGGCCTGATGGAAGTTATCAACACAACCTGCTGGCTGACCCGGAAGTACTACTTTGTCCACAACACAGCAACAACGTGGCGTCTCCACGGCGTAGGTCGGCTTCAATTGTCCACCAACACTCTACTCTTGTCGTTTGTGATTGTGGTCCTTTTCATGTTTCCCGGCCCATCCATTCATGCTTTTTCAGACTTTTCTACGTCAGAGGGTTGTCACGTTGTCTTGCCTCCAATTACACCAGCGCTGATGTCAAGTCTTCTATACTACACGACGACACAGCTTTTTAACGACCCCAGAACATCTCGAACTGGCCCTAACCCAAATCCCCCTACCGACAGCATGAGTCTAGGTCATACGAAAGACTCTTTTTGAAGAAAACGTGACACCCCTATGATCTAGACCAGACTGAGAAAGTGTGAAGATGGGCCAGGAAACGTGAATAGGACTGATTGTGATAATATGAAGCCGTCTGGTTATACTTTTCGTTTATGTTTCTCCTTCTTTTCGGTTGTCTACTTCCTCTGCTACGTTCGCCGTTAAAAGGGCGCTTGACTCATTGTTTTGTCGTTTACAGTTAGGCTGCTCTAGCTACACCTTTGAGCAGGACACGTTCAGTTTCAACAAATCCTTGATTAGATTTAATTTAGTCTCTGGAGATGTGGGTATCCAGAAGAAAGGTCATATTTCATGAAACAAAGAAGTCCATGGCAAAGGCTATTAAAAGACATAGCACAGGGAAAAAACCTTTGAATTAAAACCAAAGACTGGAGAACCATACTGAGAAAGTCGAAAGCAAGAGATCGTGAGGTGGGTAACTATACAAGTGGGAGGACAACATCAGAAGATGGAAGGGCAGCAGTCTGAGAGAGTGTACAGCAAGGACAAGAGACGGAGCGTGAAGGAGATCCATAGCAGCCAAGCTTCACTGTGGAGACGGCCCTGATTGATTGAAAACTAGATTTAGTCGCACTCTACATGTTTGTGAAAAAGAGGTGCAGGAAAGGGGTAGGTAGGAGGTGGGGTGGGGTATTATAACCTTTAAAATGGGGTACTAACACCAACATGGAGAAGTCAACACACTGTCTGTCGTCCTGATTGTGCACTTTCTCAGGCTGCTGTTTGTCAACACTTTCTCTTTCTCCTACCATTTGTATCGCTGTCTGCCCGTTGATAGTGTGTTTGAGTGTGTGTGTTCTGGAGGTTCCGGTCAAAATGGACGCTAGGCACGGTCACTGTTTTGAGTAGTGACAAATTTTTTTTTTGCTTCTGCCAGACGGTGGCCGTTGCAATTTTGCTCCACTTGTAGGCTGAAAGGATATAGTTTCGTTGCCCAGCTTCTGAATTGAGTGCATGGTGCGACACTGTAAGCTGCGGATTTCATTTGGAATGTTCTTCGCTTGGGACCAACGTGGCGATGTGAATTGTAGATTAAGAAAATGGCGCGATGCATGTTGTCGCAATAATAATGGTGGCAATATGTGATTAAAATTGATCGCGTGTGCAACTGCTGATCTGTTGGTGATTTCTGTCACCATCGATGATAAACTGCATTTCTAATGTCGGACTGTTTGTGTTAGCACTTCGGATGGCTACCGTATGCTTTTAATGTGTGCGTATGCTAGTACATGTGCTAAAACAGCAGCCTGTCAATCTTTCCTCAAGGGACTGCGACGAACATTCTGTGTGTTTTTCATTGGCACAGGAGTGGAGCAACTATGGGATGACTCGTCTGCCATGAAGCTGAAACTAAGATTACCAAGTGTGTGTGTGTGTGTGTGTGTGTGTGTGTGCGTGCGTGCGTGTGTGCGCGTGTGCGTGCGTGCGTGCGTGCGTGTGTGCGTGCGTGCGTGCGTGCGTGCGTGCGTGCGTGTGTGTGTGTGTGTGTGTGTGTGTGTCGAAGTGAATCCTGGGCAGATTTGTGAAAAATTAAGTGAAAACTGCAGAGATGTAATATTATGGAAGAATTACGAGCAGAACAAACAAATTAAAAAAATAATTACGAGAATGGGGTGGGGAGAGAGAGAGAGAGAGAGAGAGAGAGAGAGAGAGAGAGAGAGAGAGAGAGAGAGAGAGAGAGAGAGAGAGGGGATATGAATACCCACATGAAGCAAAGTTAATCCTGTTTTTTCGGCACGCTGTGAGAAGGGTAAAACTAAAGTACTTCGTGACAACGATAAAGTTGGAGACCAAGAGAGACTCGGTGAGTGGAAATTTGCTGCATCATGACAAGAAAGAAATTCTCTACAAGAAATTTCGGACACTTCACGAGACAGACATGGTGACCACGCGATTCAGGCTAGAAGGTGCCTCGGAGCTTCCACTGCGCAGGCAGATGCGGGATTTATCTCGGAGAGACCTCAGTTTAGTCTTATCTTAATCCTCTGGTACCTGAAGGTGTCGAGGTCTACGGGAAAGTGCCCGTTTGTGCGCTTCGTAATCTCTCTATCAGTCGCTGGCATAGGCCGGCATTTTCATTGCTTCCCGCCTGGTGTGTACAACATTGCTTGCTCTGGTATACTGTCTGCTGACATCCGCGTTATATGGCCAAACCATTTCTCCTGTTATCTTCTAATGAAGTCTCCAGAGCTTTTGCTCCCCCCACCCACCCATTTTTGTCTCTATGGATTTCGTTTTTTCTTCCCCTTTTTTAACTCTTTTTGTTATATTGAGGGCACTTCGCAGGAATTTCATTTAAGTTGTAATTTTTGATTTCTCCTTTTCTGTCATTGTCCAGGTCTAGCATTGAGAACACAGGGCTGGCAAAAAGATTGTGTCATAGAGTGCTCTTTTGATGCATGTTTATACATGTTGGTTTCTTAGTATTGGTGCTTTTTGCCCAGTGAGTGGGTTTGCTTTGCTACATCTGTCATCAATCTCATCTTCTGTTTTGCCAGCTAATAATATTATGCTTCGTAAGTATTTGTAGTTTTCGGTTGTTTCAGAGGGTTTTCTGTAAGCTGGATATTGACTGTTTCGTTTTCTCTGGCTATAGTCATGACATCTGTTGTGTTGGCGTTACTTTGCATTTTATGCTCTTTGCAAATCTGGTTTAAATAATGTATATGGTCTTGCAGTTCAGTGTCTGAAGTAGTAACGGAGCTTGGTTGTCCGCAAATAGTAGTTCCTCAGTTAAGTGATTTTGTGTATTGTTGTCTATTATTGCAACGTTGTCTATTCATGTCTGATAACGACTGCCAAGCTGCAACAGTTACTTGTCGTTTGTAAAAATATGAAGCTGTCTAGTTTTTGTTTGGTTTGATATCTTTTCATGATAGAGACTATTCGATGTTGGGACTTTAAATGTGCCCGGCTGACACGTTAGTCGACATTTTATCCTCATTGCACATGGAACCAATCAGTCCATAAGTGCGCGGATCCCCTCCTCAGTAAATCTCACAACGTGTAGCAGCTCATGACACCAGTTCCGTGTTGGTTTCTTATTCTTCTTCGGCTTCCTGCATACAGCTCTTGTCTGGCCACACCCCATTTAATATGTTGCTCTTACTCTGGTCATGGTTACAGATTCACAGCCATCACTTGGTTCTCGCAAACGTCTTACTTCTCGTAGATCATTCAGAATATCAGTCTGGTTCGTTCCTCGTCCGCCCTCCACAGTCACTTTACCTGCCAGCCAATCAGCTTGCTCATTTCCTAGAACACATATATGTGTCAGCCCCGACAGTTTTAGAGACTTCAGCCACTGTCTTCGGATCTAGCCCTTCTTTATCTTCTTGAGCATACTCACTAAGTGCCCGGCTATAATTCTGAGCCACAATCATAGTTCCTTAACAACTGGGTCACCAGTTGCTGTTGACTGACTGACTGATCAGTACCTTCTATCTCTGACGGGCAAATGCTGTCTGCGACTCAGAGGTTGGGACTCGAGTTGCGCGACTTGGACTCGAATGAGGCTTATGTAGCGTAATCAACGACTTGCGACTCGACGTAGGGTTTTGTCAGCGAGCCAGGACTCCACTTACGACGGGTAGCTTTGATGACCTGGGACGAATCATTCTTCACAGCTATTTTTAGGTTTCGTTTCGTTTATCAAACTCTCACATTAAACTTTTCCAGCTTTTATATACAGTTCAGCGAGTTTTCCACATTCAGTTTCTGGTTCTGAATTTTGGCCATTTTTGATTGATCTTTATTCTTCTTCTTCTAAAAGTCCATGCAGTGTGGCGTTGGTAGTCACGTCAATCCACAACCTTCTGTTTTGTGTACTTTCAATAAACTCTGACACAGATGATCCTCCATGTCAGATGTCAAACACCTGTTCTCTCAGTCTCCCTCTGCCTCTCCTTCCCTCCAACTTTCCTACTGTTACGATTTACTCCAGTTGTCTCCTCATCCCATGACCAAAGAACATAGACTGTCTCTTTTTGATGTGGGCAATCAGTTCTCTTCGTAAGTCAGTTTCTGATGGTGTTGGGCACCGGCCAGATCCCCTGGTCACTTCTTTCTTGTCGTGTGCTGATGTAGGCTTGTCAAAGAAATATTACTTCTATTTTACAATTGCAAATTTGTGATGATGTGGTTTGGTGGTTACTGAAATTGTTTCACAATACTATCCTCAACAATTACATGGCTTGGATTCCAAAGGTAGGAGGTTTAAAAGAAGAGTGTTTTTATGGCTTTTGATCAGTGGCAGGAGACTTCCAATGTGGAAGGGATTGGGGCCTTTCCGTGTCATACCACCACAGTTAGCAGTGGATACATTTCAGATAACCCCAAATGTGGAGACAGCACAGTTTAAACTTTGTCCTAGACCTCATGCTTTTCTGACTGGTTGTGAATTTAAAAAAAAGTATGTGAAGGACCCTCTTCCACGCCTTCAGGTGTATTGGGCATATAGGGCTAGACCTGAAGACCTATCTGCACTCAGTGGGTCTTGTGGTCAACATCATGCGGGCCACCTTTACTTTCTAGGTAATTTACCTGGTACCCATCAAAGGCTGGGTCAATCTGAGAGCTAAGATCATTCAAAAAAAGTCCAGCAC